TTCAAAAGGCTTCATTCTATTTTTGTAATTCACTTAAAATAATTTATGTGTGTAAATTATGTGCCTTGAAATAACTGCAGACAGTGAAACAATTATGATCCAGCGGCTAAAATATTTCTCAAACACTTCTCCCACGTATATGTCACCATTATAGGCTCCTACTATCAGATTAGATGCAGCCTTAGCTGAATTTCCGCCCACTTGAAAATAAAGACCAAAAATAAAATCAAACTTGAATTAATTAGAAAATTTAGAAATTAATGACAGTTTTCGATTTCGATAGGATATTTACTACCTATTATTGAATTTCTATATTTATCCTCACACATTTTTACTGTGCGATATTATTGATATTGATTGAATAATATATTTTATATGTTAATACTTTTCTGTGTTTATTGTTTCGTATATATGTATACTTTAACCTTTGCCTATTTGGTACTTAAAACTGTGGTAAGTGGTCATAATAATCGTTGGAAATTGGTACGTATCGTCAGTCGTAGACAGTATTTATAATGTGGTACATTTTTAGAAAATTACATAGTAATTTTTTTAGTTAATTCATATATATTTATCACCATTATTAAATTTGATTAAAAATCAGGTTAACGTTATGCAACTTTTTTAAGTAATTTTAATTTCAACTATGGAAAAACCTTATTTCAATTGTATTGGTGGATCCATCATTATTTGGGATTAATTTCGGGATTAATTATTCAAATTATCGTATTTATTTGTCTTTCAATTGTATTCTGACGTCTTTTACGTGTACACTCCATAACTCGCCTATTTTATTAGATATCTAGGTTGCGTATACCTTGGATTACTTTTGTATGTTTCAATGTGTAATCAAACACTCGTCGTCTTGAAAACATTTAATGGAACATAACTATGTTTCAAGTTATTACCTTCTAAGTAAGCTTACTTTAATGCTATATATTTTAGTGTTTATAGGGATATGATAAGTGATAGGTACTGTTTACCTATTCTCCCCTATTTACGATTCAAAAAAATTTTTATTCTATTTTTGTAAATCCGTTAAAATATTTTATTTGTGCACATTACATGCCTTGAAATACCTGAAAACAGTAAAACAATCATGATCTAGTGCCTAAAGTATTTTTCAAACACTTGTGTAATTTTCCCACGTATATATCACCATTAATTATAGGTACCTACTCATCAGTTACGTATTAAATTATCAATTCCAAGAGCATTCTATGCTAAATCTCCGTCTACTTAAAAGCCAAAAATGAAATAAAATTTGCATTAATCAATCAGAAAGTTTATAAGTTTGCATCGATAGTTTTCTGGCATAACCCAATAAAAAGGATACCTATTTATAAATGTCGCATTACTATTATTGAATTTTTATATTTACTCTCAAACATTTTTACTGAGCAATATTATTGTATCTATATATTGATTGTATAATATATTTTCTCTTTTGTGTACCAGGAAAATTTTTCATTATTTTGTAGGTATGTAACTACCCTTTAACCTTTGCCTAGATGCGATTTATACGAAATTGTGGTGAGATAATGGTGATGGATCGTTGGAAATTTGTGCCTATTGTCAGTCGTGGGCAATATTTATAATGTGGTATATTCTTAGAAAATCATACGTATAGTAATTTTTTTAATTCCTTCATCCACATTTATCACCATTATATTAAAATCACGTTAACCGTATGCTATATTTTTTTTAGTAATTTTAATTTCTACCATGGGCAAACCCTATTTCAATTGTATTCTGACGCCTTTTACGTGTATATACTCCATAAACTCACCTATTTTATCAGATAGGTTACGTACCTATACCTTTGGATTACTTTTTTATGTTTCTTATGTACCTATAACAAATGGTCGCCCTGAAAACATTTATTGCAACATAACTTATGTAAGCGAATCAGTTACACTCACTTTAAATGCTATATTTTAGAAGTAATTATTTAATGAATTATTATTATAACGTTTTAGAAACGCCGTCTATTATTAAGCAATCAATCGTCTATCAAATTTAAAAGACATTTTCTTGCAGTTTGAGACAATTGCCAAATTTTCTTTCTTTTTCAGTCTGGGATGTATATCGATTGAACCGTGTATACGCGTATGATACGCTGTTTATTCACCTAGGTGAAAATGCACAACTACCACGAAAAAATGCGAAACGATTGCTTACTTAACATAAATGCTACTGTATAGCTATACCTATAAGCTATATAATATTTAATTAATATTTTCAAAATATATTTTAATTCAACAAAATGGGGGGGGGGGGGCCAAGGGAACGGAATCCCCCATAACGCATTTTGCTACCGGTATTTGTGCCACTTGATACATTATCCTATTCTCCGCGCCAGTTCTACTTTACTCCCCGACGGCGTTATGTATTATTTTAAAGTTTACGTAGTTACGGATAAGGTCATTTTAAAAATTTCCAATACGCCTCAACTCGCTTCTGAAACACCCAACATCTTCTCAGCTACCACCAGTACCATTGATTACCTAATTATGAAGTCAGACAAGATGCACCATCTTCATCAACCACCATTGCCGATTTGTGGCATTCTTTACCCACATATAGTGACTTAGTTAAACGTTTGTAGACCTAACAATTGACTTAATTATAATCTTCGTTGGTATTACCATAAAAGAGCTACGCGGTTTAATGCCACATATCCAGCTACAGGCAATGGGAGTCAACAAAGATGCTGCCAAGAAAATTCTTTAATAAAGATTCGGGGATACTGGTGCCATATGAGAACAAATAAAAATCACGTTGACGTTATTTAAATTTTTTTTAAATGATCTCTTGATTGATCTAGTTAGAAATATTTACATGGTACCTACCTAAACTAGGTAATTTATACCAACTGCGCCGTCCTACATCACGAACATCTCCGATTTAGGTACATGGACAATAATCTTCACCAGATTTATCGGCAAACCAATCGATCAAGTAATACCTACTGATTCAAGCCCACTGGGCTGACAACTCGTCAAGGATTTCTACTAAGAATTGTAACCACTTAAACTAATTAAAGTCGAATTTATTGGTATTAAAAATTTGAGGTATTTACAAACGCCAACTTTCAGAATCATCTTCCTCAGATAGATATTATAACTATAGATAATATTATTATAAATATTAAAAGAGCGATACAAAATATTATGCAAACATTATGTAAACGTGAAAAATATCAAACGTCATTCACCGATTAGTCCTTGAGCAACTCGACACGATTATACACGATTGGGCCCATTTATAGAACAAAGAAACCAACTGCGCAGTATAATTAACCGGTTCCAGGATACTATAATCAACGAACAATCCATCTCGATCTCTTATTTATATAACCGTCGCACACGTCGAAATATTCTAGAAAGTTCTAAGGAGTTATGAATTAAAAACAAAACCACCCTAATGAGTGGCGCATTATAATAATAGACGCGAACGTCCACCAAAATCAATACATCAATTCCAAACCTCGACCTAATTTAACATAGGTGCCATAATAATAGGACCCTGCGTACGTGACAAGATGGCGCCCAACGACCGCGCCCTACCTCGGCGGCCATATTTACGTTTACTCGATAAGGTCTATCACGTGACGTGTACCGAGTTTACAGCATATGGTGAAATTCTTCTGGAAATGAATTAATAATTTGACACGAAAATTAGGGGGAATATTAGTGAAAAATAATAACATTAATGGTAATTTAAGGAAACTAGCGTGCTTACTCATTCATTCAATTTTTCTCTTAGAATAGGTACTCAATTGCGATAAGAATGGTAAAACAAAAGTTCACACTCTAGTAAGATAGGAAGTTAACCAAAACAGTTTAAAACAAATATTTGCAAAAAGCAAGTATTATACAAATCCTTTTATAAACCGTATGTCCCACGACGACCACTGTTGTTGCACTTCACTTTATGTACATACGTACCACTACTGTAAACGCACGTAGGCAAAATTTGCTTTTATACCCCAACTCCCATCGAACGTTCTAGAAAGTACTCATACAGCTGCGCAAGTTGAAAATAATCGTTACAACACGTTTGGAAAAGTTACGTTGTATACGTTTTCTCTCTCGCTCGTAAAAATAAACTCGACCTATCCTTTGTTAGCAGTTAGCAGCCACGGAATTTTCCATTAGCGAATATGGTTGAGGTCACCCCATGGAGGGGAGGCTTATACACGATAATTAAACCTATTTTTTTAAGGTTGTATTTGTAATTATACATACATAATTACGAGATATGAACAATGTAAACTACCTATAGGTACTACCTACTCTGCATCAGTTATAAACCATACCCAAAAATATACAAAATTCAATATTTGTAAGGGTTTACATAAGTAAATAGGTACAACAGCTGTGCGAGCTTTGGGAAAATAATCGTAAAATGCGTCTTGCAGTTTTCCGTAGTAGATACCAAAGGTAGATAACAAATTGGCAAATTCGCCTCATATGCTCTGTGATAATGCTATCGACTTGACCAAGATCAGCAGGGTATACGTGTAGATACCCGTAATTGTAAATGGCGAACTCATCCTACTTGATATGCAACAGTTCTACCGCGTCAGTGGTTTTATTCGTTTTTTCACTATAGGAATGAGTAATGAATTACAAAATACCCAGGAAGGAGAATATGAACGATTTACGCGAGACGCGATGGCTTTTGCAAATGGCGGGCAGTAGTTTCCTGTACCAGTGGCGCACCTCCCTTATAGTTGTAGGATATTATACCTTTATAGCATATTCATTGTGTAGATATATATTATGTCACAGTACTACCATTGAATTATGCAATGGTATACTTATATAGGTAGCATGACTACATAGGTCATAGTGTGTATAAGTATACCAACAATTATAAAAAATTATTAATAAAACGATTACATGTCACATCATGAGGAATCATTGTGGACATATCTTTCCTACAAAACAGGGATCCGGATATACAAAATATTAACCCAAAATAAAACTAATGCGTCATTATATTAGCAGTTTAATAAGTTGCACTTTATGCTAGTTAGTAGTAGCTCTATCAAAAGTAATATTAGTTATAAGCACTCCAAAGTCTTTCAGTAACCTAAGTAACTAAACTCAGTTTTTGATTACCTACAGTCGTTACAGCAAACGCTCTCATGATTGCTTTTTACTTGTAGACTATCTACTAGTTTTTTGAAAGAGCCTTTGAATAATATCTTCAACAGTTTCGTGTTCTTCCAAGATTATAGTTTTCTTTTTGAATTCAGCTAGCATTGTGCTTAAAACTGAAATACGTCTCTTTTGTCGCCATATTATTTTTTGCAGTTTTCGAACTTTTTGGTTTTTTAAAACTTCCCTTCTTTGTAATTCAGATATCTTCCTTTTCAACGCTCTATTACGAGGAGTATCTTCTTGCAACTGTTGAGAGCAAACTGGAGTTGCTAGTACCGATGTAGGAAACTTCTCTTCTCTCGAAGGGCCAGGCGTGACAAGCACGGCATTTTCTTTTTCTACTTTTACTACTGTGTGAATAGAATTAAGAGACCTTTCCTGCAATTAAAAATAATAATTACGTACACTATACGCACCTCTATTGTTAGAGTATTGCTAACTTACATATTTTAATCGTGTAACTTCCACGGTAGGAACAGCATTTGGTTGCAATCTCACTTTGAGCATGGATGTTCGATCAAATTGTTGTTCACCAAAATGTTGAGAACATAAATAACTTATGCCTATGGGTACCCATCCTTCCTTGTTTACAAATTCGATCCAAGCTTTTCTTATTTGTACATCTTTCGGAAAGCTATACATAATGACATATTATATATAGAGATATATATGTACGGAATTAATTAGTATTTCACTGATAGTTTTAATAGCTAGAACTAATTATCAAACTCTTTATTACTTTTATACAATCACAAATATTTCGGTGGCAGTAGGTATCACATTTTATACCAAAAATATCTAAACGCCCATGTGGCTACTCCGCCTATGACTTATGTTTAATTAACCTCAAACAATAGCAATAAAAAATTTGTAAATTTACATGTCTGTATCATTACTTACACGTGAAATGTAATTCCCAAACTTTTATTTTTTGCCGATTTACTACAACCACAAGACGAACAACTAACCATTATTTTCTGTCACTCGAAAAGCCACAACAAAACATCAGTGTCATAAGTGGTCTTTGTAAATGGCCGACTTCCGCCGCCCTCTCTCTTGTCAACAACTTGAGCATGGTTTACAATAAACACATACACCATGAAGTTGAGTAATGCTCGTATTCGAACGGTAAAACAGGAAGTCTCTTATCGTGGTCTCTTAATTAATTAATTAATCAAGTGTGCTGTCAAGAGTGGATGGAAATAATAATCTATGAAGAATAAATTTTTTTCATAAATCAATATTTTAAAAAAAATTCCCTCTTGTATTATACCCCATCGCTTTACGCACTGTATATGTACTTAATACACCATTTCTGCATCTATATGCGTATAATATCAATTCTTTGTTTATATTATATTAGTCTGTACTGATCATTCTATTGTTTTTTTAGGAGGGGTGGAAGATCGCCATTTTGGCGAACCTTATCCTTTTATACACTAGCTGATGGTTTATAATAAACGGTATTATTATTATGACCGTTGAAGTCAAGCAATCTAAACCTAAGGAATCACTGAAAACCACAATTAAGTCAAAGCGTTTCAACAGCAATCATTGTCAACGCATCAGCCTGTAAGTGATTTTTAGGGTACCCCATCACCCTGATCGTATAGGTTTTAGGACTTTTCGAGGCTGTTTATACCTAGTCGCTGTTATAATCTCTTAATAGGCTTGCAACTACATATTTTTAATTTTAATTTATAATTACAGATGTAACATTTGAATCAACACACACTTCTGTACCCACTGCACCCAATATAAATTTCCATAAGAGCGCCTGCCATAAGAACTCAAGTTTTTCCAAACAACATTTTTGGGCGAAAGCCTGTTGTGGGCCCAGAACAAGAGGGGGACAATAAATAAATACGATGAATGCTGAAACTGTTGTGGCGTGCGCACTATGCAATTTTTAGTAATAGTATATTTCATTACCAGTCCAGAAAGGGAGATTTTCCCGTGGGCGCATGACGTTTCCCGTGTGAGGCGAAGCCGAACACGGGAAGTCATGCAAACACGGGAAAAGCCTTTCTGGACGTGTAATGAACGATATTTTTCATCATACCTCTCCGAAAATAACGGAGAATAATTATTTACATTGAAGTCCAAATCCAATTTGACAACAAATTCTGTTGCTTGTCTTATGACCCTTAAACCCCCATTATCTTCAACGCATCATCAATAGTCGAGCGAATTGTATCGTCTCCCCTGCATCTTGCTCCAAATTTCCGAATACTAAAATAACCTTAGTAAGTAATCACCATTTTATCTCTGCAGCTTCATTCAAAAATTGCTCCCTTGTTATACAGAACTTTTGATTTTTTTGGGATATAGCGGACGGTCTGACGCTTCAAAAAGTCGGTTTTGCACAATTTGCTAGCGTTTTCATTTTCTTTTACCGTAAGAATGTTCTTAATCATTGAAAACCTACTCCATAACGTACTCTTTTCACGATTTCTTCAATGCACCAGTTATGAAATTTTTCATATTCCTTTTCGCATCTCTCTTTTGATTTCGCTGGTAATAGTTGGGAACTGGTTTCTGCAGCTTCCCTTAATATATTAGCGGGAATTTCGCCTTCACCAAAATCCATTTTTAACACAATGGTAAAAAATCGGTTGACATATATGTCAAAGTCAATCCGCGGTATGCATGGCAACGCATGGGATAGGGATAGCTATGGCAAACGTGATTATTCGTAGCGCACGGGAAAAAGTTTTCCAGTGCGCTCGCACGGGAAAACCCTACTTTCGGTGCGCTTGGGATACATGAAAAGACAGTACTTTCGGAGAGGTATAATGAAAAGCTAATTACATCAATGTCCTTGCCAACGGAGATGGTGGATGACATCTATTCATCATTTTTTAAAAAAGCCTGACGTGCGTACTTCAACCAGTGCGAGCGCGCGAATCGGACTGCGTTTGCGCGATTATATTGCCGGTCACTCGTGCTCATATTGTCGATCCTTAAGAATAGAGCGCGGGGAGCGGTGCAGCGTGGGAGGCCGGCGAGTACCTTAGAATAAAGGATCGATCAAGTTTTGGCGCGAAACACAGGCCTAATGTTGGGCTAGGAAGTCGGTATTTGGTTTAGGGCCGCTATAAAGATCTAATTGCTGTTCCCACATATACTCTGTATGGCGCTAGTTTCCCCTAAGGGTCCTCAACCCTGAGGCTGAATCGATTTTTCACTTTGGTATATTTCCTTAAAACGATTTTATTCATTTTGTGTAATAGTTGGAACCCTCGAGCAAACAGTTTTTAAATTGTCTTCTCACATACAAGAAACATTTCAGTGTACATGGGAAAGCGAATTTCACATCTGATTTTAACAATATGATTCACCATCAAAACACAGAAGCTGTGATGCTATGTCATGGTTTCAGTTTTTATTGCTTTAAAAATACTGTATAAGTCAGATATAGGTATCTGCATTTTGTACTCCTAGCCATTATGAAATTTACCCAAAACTATGTCCTGTCTACACAAGCAAGGGATTTAGTGAATCTGCCCATAAGTTTTTCAATACCTACAATGAAAGACTTAAACTCTGACATTTACTGTTTGAGTTTTATTAAATTTAAAAACTGAAACTATAAAAAATAATAAATATCTCAGAGCAATTTATTAACAGTCTTTTAAGAAATGAATTTTCACGTAGCATTAGAAATATTTTCAATTTCCTCAGAAACATTAAATACATTAGAAAATTTGTCTTAACTATTTTGACTATGTATACACTAAAAAAAGAATATAAATGTTTAATATGAACTCAATGGCAAACCCTGTTTCCGCAACAGCAACATCAGCAAACTGAAAATTTATAAAAAATAACTATAAAAAAATTCCTTAATATTTAATTAGGAGCTTTTTTTTTAAAAAAACCACACATTGTCGCTCGACTAATACTAAACACATTCTTTATTCCGATGTATTTAAAAAAAGCATATTGGTCTTATCCTTTCTTTTCAACAATGTTCAGAAGAGCTTCGATGGATGCGTTTAACAACTTTAAATTTTCTAACTGCCCACTGGATTGAGATTTCTGTTCTTCAATACTGTCATCACTACTGCTCGTATTTTGGGTTTCCGAATCACTTTCGTTTCTATCGACACTATCATTCTCAGATTTGTGATGTTCGATTTGTGAAGAAGTGCCTTCATTTGTTGAGGTACTTGGTACAATTGCACTATCACTATCAGTTTTATTACCGTGACTTTTATTATTATCCGACTGACTAGTAGATGGCGATAGTTGCAAAGGAGGCTCCAGCGCTACAATTTCAGCTTGCACTCTCCCACAAAGTTGTCGAAGTGTCGATGTTAGTAATGGCGGAGGTACGGCCTCTGGACTACTATAAACTAACACTAATGCACGTATATCGCCCGCTAAACGTTTGGCGGTTTTCTTCAGGTCGACCGAATTTACTTGCTCACTTAAACCTACTACTGTATTGTCTATCATTGTTAAAGTCTGTTCCGATAGAACGTGGGCAGATACTTTAGGAAAGAATGTGATGAGAAATTCGTAGATTACATCAACAGTTAGGGACGACCGCTCGTCCAACAAAATGGCGTCGATGTAATCGACGAAGTAATTCGAGGATGTCAACATGGAGGAATACTTTCTGTCCATATGCTGAAATGAAGGTTTTTAGTCATTGAAACTGAACACCGATGTAAATATGCTACAGATAGTTCATTCTATGGTATAAATTGGCGACTATGATGGGGATTTAAGCACCTGGTGAGTTAAATCCATGTCATGAGCTATCTGTACTATATTTACATTTGTCATACTAATTTGATTAAGGCATACCTGTACTCTTAAAACGTCAAGCCATAATTTTGGAAAGAAAGTGGAGTGAAGAGGAACTGCTTCAACGCCAACAAGTGCGCTTAATGTGATAACAATTTCAGACAGTGACTCTGATTTCACTGCTAATCTACATAGCATGTCTATAAATTCGTGATATGGTGTGAAGAACTTATCTAAAGCTTCATCGTATTCAGGGTCAACACCCTGTAACAGTTAAATAGAGTATATTCATCTCTAATAAATAAAAAGTACGTACCCTGCTACACTCCAACTGACTGTGAGGGACAGTCATCTGCACCATCGGTCTTAAAGGTCTAGTAACACCTTTACCTGTGGATGGGGGTAACTGATGACCTCGACGTGGAAAGTAGGGGCCCAAAGGGACAGCGGAATCGTGACTATCTTGAAATGCAGAATGGCAGTGTGAAAGCAAGGGAACCAAAATTTGCATTACTTCTCCTGGCATTATCGATATAAACTCCTTGAGAATCTCTGAAACATCAAAGTTAGATACGCAGCAACAAATGCTACATTTATCCTACCAATGCACAACAAACGCATTTCTGAAGGATTGTACGTATTGAGCAATGACGCCAGCTTACGTAATACTTCCAACCAATCTTTGTATGCGAGCAAGATGCCTCTGGCATCCTTCGGGTCCCTATAACTGCGCACGCATCTAACAATATCAAGTAGTATCGATAAAATTTCGATAAGATCGCCGGACACGTGACAGGCGGTAGCTTCGTGCAGCATAACGTGCAAATTTTGAAAAGACTACAAATAGGTTAGATAATTTATGTTTTGATTCGAGAGGCGCGAGTACCTCAAATACAATTTGTAAACCACCATTGTATACTATGTACAATCGATCGTCATCGCAATCGACCAGTATTCGAAATGCAGAGATCAATGTTCCCCAACTAGTACGGCCGTCCAAACACTGCAAGATACCATGTTAAATTGGACACACGATGCAACAATGTTATTCGAATAAATGGTAACACAGAGTTAATTTAAATTGGTAACTACCTGTCCTTTGGTTTTAGGATAGTGTAAATAACAAAATAGTGAGACAACCTTATGAGAAAAAAAGAGAAATTGGTATATAGATTTTATAGGTGCAGACATCGCGAAATATAAAGTGATCAATGAGAAACGGCCGTAGATATTTTATATAGTTCATCCAGTGACAATTAACCAACTCGCTTATGTGAAAGCTATGGTATTAGATCAAAATGTGGCGAACGTCGCAATTTATTTATTTACCAAACTAGAGTTTAAAATATATTTCCACAGGGTAATCTGTGATATCTCCTTCACATATCACACTGGCTGCATCTTCGACTGCTGCTTGGGCAACAACAACTACTTCTCTTCTTTTCTTTTCCGCTACTTGCACTCCTTGAGCGGTGTCGCTTTGATCCGTGTTGTCTTGATCTGTGTCGTTTTGATTCGCGTCGTTTATCGCCAAGGCTCCTCCTTCGCCTCCGAAATACCCACGGCGCTTTTGCGGCCATCTCGCAATACGGCCTTCTATCTTCGGGTGACATACTTTTCCAGCAAGAGCCTGCCATTTTTGCCACTTCAACGACCGGCTTGTCGCGATTTTCCATTAGCAGTTTAAGAAAGTAGTTAATGAAAGGATTACGAGAAACCTTTGCTCCTTTAGAAGTATTTTTACAAGCAGACATTTTAGAATTCTTAGGTACACTACAATTTTGCAAAATGAAACTTCAAAACTAAAACAAAATAACCATTACGACTTGATCCCATTTTTTGGCCAATGTCCTTACTAGTAACACAACAGGATGGTAACCGAAATAATGAAATACAAACAATAGGGTAGATGACAAATTTTTTAAAACCAGTTATAACTGTTCGTATACCTCTACTATAACTTTAAAATATGATATTTCAGCAAAATAAATCATATTATTGCAAATTTATGCAATTTAAATTGTAGATTTTTATTCTAGCGCCAAAACGCTGTTTTGTGTCATGGCGGTGTCTGTGACGTCACAGTCCTGACAATTATAAACACATAACCCCAGCGTTTAGTTTAAAAGATTTCGTGATGAATTATAACTACCGTAAGTGGTGCCCTACCATGGAGTACACTTTGTCGTGGTGTAGGGCTCAGTAGTCACATTTTTCTGTGGCACAGCTAAGTATCCCAGGCGGGTAAATCTGGTTCCAAGGATGCGGTATCATTCAAATGCTTCATGGAGTAGAGAAATCCAAAAGGGTTTTCGACGATTGCTCATTAAACGTAATATAGAAAACTATATTGACATGAGTAGCACACTTTTCACATACGTTAACTCCTGTGGCGTGCGGTAGACGACAATTTGGACAACTTCCGAATCCGATTGAGACATTTGCCGGTAGAGTTTCAAATAATCGGACTAGATCATGACTTGTTAAACGTGATAAAGGAGACTTTATCGACACTAGTACTCCTTTAGACTCTGAGGGGTTGTAAAAGTAGCTTGATGGTAAGGCAAAGAAAATAATTGTTTTCCTCGTCGACAACTAAGGAAACTGCATAGAGCTTTGCGTGAACCGTATGCTGCGGGCCAATTTTGACTTAACTATGCATAAGTTGCCAGAGTCTTCTGTTCGACTGCACCCAATGAAAGGTTCCATAATAGTGCCCGCCATAAAAACTGTTTTTCCAAAAAAATTTGTTTTAAGAACTACTTTATAAATTTAGACCTTTATCTACAAAATGTTCGTAACAGAAAACTCTTAAAGTGGACATAGCTTACTGAATCATCTCCATATGATAGCTTCGATGACCTAAAAACAAAGCAGCTTAAGTACACATTCCTCTTAAATAACTACATTTCTTGTAAAAAATCTAAGCTTAACTCAAAAACCTACAAGACTTATGGTAGTTTTCTGATGAACAAAAATCTGTTTGATGCAAAAAATATTCCCAACATCATTTCATCAATGTTTGCCAGATTTGCTGCTATCAGCATTCGTATGCCCACTTTCCATTCTTATCTGGTTTTAAAAACTAAAATTTAGGATAATATAATCACTATAAAATGGAACAAGCACTAAATTAAAAAACATAGCCAAACTCTACAAACGCATAGAGGATTAGGATAATGACTTCACGCGCTCTGATTGGCGTTTGATATCACGTGACAAATGTCGTTATATTTTAATTTTAGTTTTACTAAAATATAATAGTTTCTCGTGTACATTACCAAAGAAAGTTATTTTGCGATACTCTGACACCTTACTCTATCTTATGAAACAAAAATTTATTTATTCTTTTTCCACTGTCATGTACCCTATTACGAATTTTCATGTGGAGAGTAGTATTTTGGTACTATTTAATCAAGAAAATTTCACATTACCTACCGGCGGGATTAAGGATTAACCCTGGGATTAACCAATTAAGAAATTTGGGACACAAAGTGATGATGATTTACAATCCAAAACGTTACACCAAGACCGCGTACACTTTTAAACTTTGATCCTGATCATATTATTTGTCAATCTATGTCATGTTAACGCAACATCAGATTAAGACTGGACAAGATAGAAGGTACTGTAACATCTGTTTTATTATTCCGAGGAAGTAAAATTGTTATTTATGGGGTACCGTAGAATTTCTTTATACATATTTCACATTATTGCATTAACTATGTAAACATTCAAAAAAGATTATTATCAGTTCAGTTCAAGTTTCAGATTTCTGTCTAGCACTAGGATTTTTTTTACCAACAATCTTTAAATGAGTGTAATATTGACAAACGCGCAATGTCTATACACCTTCAGTGAAGATTGTCTCACAATTCTATTCTGTACACTAAGGTTTGAGCTACAGAACAGCAAATGAACGAAGCTTCAAGTTCTATGTTTAGAATTGTGTCACCACTTACCATTCAAAATGATTATATTATAATCACCTGTAAGTATGCGAGAAGAGTAGACCTACGAAAACTGCAAATCTCCCTGAGTTCGGTTTCACTGGCATCCGGATGCTTCGTAACAAATAACTGCATCAATTTGAAAAGCTCCTCCACCGCGGTCGGATATTGCGTCGGATGCGGCGTTATATTCTTGAAGGCCCACTGAAGGTTCTGATGCTGAGCCAAATGTCTTGTAAACGTACGCGATTGTTGACACATCATTCGCAATAGACCGTAATACGCGGGTAACATGGCGCGATTGAAAAGAACGATCTCTTGATCATCATGATCGGCTCTGAAAATCAAATTTATTCCATTGATCTATACATATACTGGAACGGACACATAATGGGATATATTTGTCCCTCTTGTTCTATAATAATATTAATACTTCGCGCCTTCTTCGTTTTTTGCATATTTCCTGTCTACAGAGGACAGTTGAGTGATGATATGGCCTCCCATTTACTTTCAATAAGGAGCATCTGTGCCAACATAGCTAACAAAGACAGAGATATATTTTGCACCGTAGTAGAACACCACACATGCGCAGTAGCATTCGAATGTAAACAGCTGATAACCATAAACGTCGCAAAAATGGCTTACCCATAAAATGAAATTGCACTTTCTGTACTATGTTCACCACAAATTAAACTCACCAATTTAATGATTACTTTCATAAAAACTCGCATTTTCTATTGTAATAACACCGTAAACCCCTTTATGTTCTACGGAAGTGACATGCCAATGAAATGTCGGGAATGTCAATTTGACAGGCAACTCAGTGCGCATGTTCGGTATTCTACTGTATAGCTATCTCTCTCACATATATTGGCACTGATTTAATGGCTGAACGCTATATCTATATACAGTGTGTCCCAAATCGGGTGGGATTGCATGGGTAACTTTGTTATTATTAAAGATAGAGAATTGGTTAAATGGGCAATGTTTTGCAGTTTTGGATGTTTATTTAAAATTTCCTTATGGAAATTCAAAATGTCGCATAGGTTCGACGTAAATTCAAAAAAACTAAAATTGGTCATTTCCTTGAATTTCTTATATCATCGAAAGTATAAGAGGTATAAAAAAAAGTTTTATATAAAAGTGACCGTCTTTGATACGATTAATTTAGAATTGATGTAAAAAAAAAATTCAAGATGGCTACTTTTGAGGAACATTTACCAACTTCCTAAAGTTAAATGGGCGCCATATTGGATTTTTAGATTACTTGATAGATTTTTAAATTCTCTTTTCAACGAGCTATTATAACATAAGATTGAAAATCAGATACCAGTTATATTAACGGTTTTTGTATTTTAATCAAGTAGTCTGTGACGAATAAAAAAAAAACAAAACAAAATCTATTCGAGGCAACAAAACAATGAAAGTAATTACACCAGATGTTTAAAATACTGGCCATTATTAGTGAAACACACTTCGAGACAGTTTAGTTTAGGCAACGTGTTGCCATTGATGATTATTATTATTATTGTAGTGGTAGCTACTTCCACTTTACTTTTATTTTTTAATTAAGTACTTACTTTTATAATTTAATGTACTGTACATAATTCGTGAATTGTGACCTGAGCAGCCAGTTTGTTGGTAGGTAGCATAAACTAAGCCTTCCTTCGAAACATACGTTGTCGAGAAAAATCCTTTAAGGAAGTTTATTGGAGAATTTGTAAATAATGGTGAGCAGTAAAAGATCCATCGAAGATTACCGGTCCAATTACATGACTTCCCATTATGCCATAAAATACATTAATTAATAAAAATATTACTTGATTTCGGCGTGAAACTACAACATGTAGGTTTTCCTGTGCCGAGTAGTGTTCATAATGTCGATTTGAACACTTCACAGTTAGAAAAATAAGATTCATCTGTCCATATACTCGGACTAGTAAAACTGTTAGTTTCGATATTCTTGCGGATAAACAACCTACAAATTGTGACCTGGGACAATGCATCAATGGTAATACATTGTGTAAAATAAAGCGAAGTGTCTTGAAATGTCTTTAACTGGATAATGGCATGATTTTTTTCAAGGGGATAGTTTGTAGTTATATCACCATTTGTAGGTATGTAAGTATGGATAATAAGTCAATAAGTGATGTTATAAAAATCAAATTTTTCTAGACCTAATGCTTATATAAAATTTTGGAGGGAGTTGTAATGCCCAAACCCCCCCTCTCATGAGTGCGTCCCTGATTTTTTTAAACATGTGATGTAATTATTTTCATTGTTTTGTTGCCTTGAATCTCGTTGAAAATAAGAATTAAATAATGTATCAAGTAATCTAAAAATCCCATATGGCGCCTATATAACTTTAGGAAGTTGGTAAATGTTCCTCAAAAGTAGCCATCTTGAATTTTTTTTTGACATCAATTCTAAATTAAACGTATCAAAGACAGGCACTTTTATATAAAACTTTTTTTAATATCTCTTATACTTTCGATGATATAAGACATTCAAGGAAATGACCAATTTTAGTTTTTTGAATTTACGTCGAACCTATGCGGCATTTTGAATTTCCAAAAGGAAATTTTAAATAAGCATCTAAAACTGCAAAACATTGCCCATTTAACCAATCCTCTATCCTTAATAATAACAAAGTTACTCATGCAATCCCACCCGATCTGGGACACACTGTATATGATCTAAGTTGGATAATGTTTTGTCACGTCACTATTTTGTACAAATACAGCCATACAAATACTTGTTGTGTGTCTAAAATTGACAAGACTTTATCCTATAACTTGGTATACAGGGTGTCAATTTTAAAACTTGCAGTCGGCCATATTTTCCAAACTAAAGAAGAAATCGCGCAAAACCTTTTCGGGGGCATCGAGGGGTAACCAAAATGACGTTATGTGACAACCCTCCACTCCCCTTAACCCCCCCCCCCGACTCCCTCTTCAAAAATCCTAAATGGTAACCCCATACTTGTGATACATCGTTGGAAAGCTACTGAAAAATGCTTTCCAGTGGTACCAATAAAGTCAATATTCATTAAGACAATTTAACTGTTTAACCTGTGTGATTACTTACAGTATATAATTAAATGCTATATTCTTTGTGACATGTCCATTTTGCAGCATGTGTTGTATATTCTCGGGACAGTCAGTGCAAACATGATTCCAGAAGGCGAGTAACGCCTGCTTGTTATGATGTGCCGGAATCGATGGCTCTGACAGTTTCGGATGGAACAAATGCCACAATTGCAAGAAATATTGGCCAAACTGAAATATAGCTTTTACAAACTGTTCCTCACACTCACACAACTAACCATCAACTTTTCAGACCGTGATATGCAACAATGCACAAGTAAAGCGAAATAAGTGGTAAGTTTGACAGTTCCATGCTGTTGATGGTCTGTGTAATGCTTTGCTGCCGGTAACAGTCGAAGGAGAGCAGTGTATATTTGATGGAGAATGGCTTGTGCATCTGTGTTTAAATGAGGCTCCCGAAATCGATGCGATGCTCGAAAACCCTGTCGAAATTGGGTGCTCGGTACTAATGACACCAAAAGGTATGCAGCAGCTAGAAACATTGCAAATGAAATTTTGTAAGTCATATGGCGCAAATGCCACCATTGCGCACGCGCTGATGAGAGTGAGCCATCAAGAAGTGCTCCAGCCACGAATCCATACATGATAGCACCCATTGATGCACCAGACGACTCCTAGTCACTTGTAAAGCTAACCAATCAAGCGCAGAGTAAGGACAAGATTCGGCCGCTTCCCACACTCTCTGCAATACTAACTGAGTAAAACACGGCAATCCCGACGGTCCGCCAATGTTTTGCGTGCCACATTCAGTTAGTAAAGTTAGAAGCTTAAAGAACGGTTGGCAAGACTGTAACAGCGACAATCACTACAGAATATAGTTAAGCAAAAACATACATCAGAATGGCGAGTGATTGCTTGAGCAATCATTTCTATAATTTGAGTCGCCAACCTCTCATTTCCCCTACAAAGTGAGTGAATTAAGTTTCGCGTCTGCTGCAGATTGATGTTATCCTTGATTTGCTGATATAGAAAGGGAAACCCCTAAAAAAACGAGTTAATAGATGTGATAGGGCAAAAATTCAACCACTTACTTTGCCGCCAGCTACTGCATTGTAATCTTTAGAACAGAGACGTAATTTCAGATCTACATCTCTACTTTTTTCAACTAATGATGCTATAAGCGTAATCATTTTATCCAACGAGGCGGGTTTGTATTTGTCAGTTGGCAGTGAAACGATTTCTTCTTCCTCTTCTCCATCACTCACGTCAATCTGTAAAAAAGCGGTTAGAGAATGTGTGGGTGAAGGTAGAAGCAACTTACAAAATCGTGCGCCTTCTGCCCTAAATAAAAATGCACCATGGTATTTATAGCGCCTGCTACTAGGAGAAATTTTGACTCTTCTTCGCCCATTCGGCTAAATTCGTATAAAAAGCCAAAGTATTCCGTTAAATGTTTCAAATGTGCTTTTGCGCCATGTTCCATCTAAAATAATTCTCAAGATTAGTACCATGTATTTTCCTAACTGACATATGGAATAGTATGTAACAGTAGAAGCAAGTATGGATTTGAATTTTTTGTATATTTTTCTCGAATTTTCGTTGTAAATATGATACATTTTGAGTTTAAGGGTTTAAGGGAAGTTGCAGGGTGTCGAAATTTAGATAGTAAATTTGACCAAAAAAAGTAATTGGGGTGGAGATTGCAATAGCAATGGAAGAGATTTACCATTACATTGAAGGATGCGACGGTTGTCAGTTCTCATTCGATAGGTTGCTACAACAAATTTCAAGGCCACAACTTCACATCAACCCGCCCAAACAGTTTTTACGCAGATAACTCGAAAGTTAATCTAATGGCAAGTACTTTGCCTGTTAACATTGGATTCCTAATGAAACAAGGAATCTGTAGAGGGCAGTGTCATCCCGAAATGATGTTTGTGTCAGGCTGGGAGGATTCTCCATAAGAGCCCATGTTAAATTGGACGATTTTCAAATGGATATATCTTGGAAAGAGCTTGGAAACTAATCCTATGACAGTATTATATAACTTCACTATCGCATAGAGCTTGATTAGAAAATTACGGGAAATGGAAATCAGATGTACCACTTTAAGTATTGAGAAATATTGAATATCTTTAGACTTTAACATTTAGTATAATATTCCAGGGAATAGAGGGTTTTAACTTGCAAAATGAGAAGTAGATCCGTGCATGTCGTAGACAGTCATCTGGTGGTTAAGAATCTAAGTTTTCGACCTCCCACCCCTTGTGCTTCCCCCGTACCACCCCCAAAACCCTTGAAATTTGGTTGGTTTCTTAGTTTTTCAATCATATCTTTTTAATGGTTCACTTTAGAAAAAAATATTGTTATCAGAAATTGTAGACTATAAAATTCTACACAACTTTGATATACACTACTTTTTTGTGAAATATTTATTAAAAAATATATGGAGCTTGAGAGTTGGTTATATTTTTAAGAATTCTGAAATTTCTATGTATGTTTTAACCAAATTTTATACTTTATCTCTATAATTAAGAGTTTTATGAGAAAATATCTTGAATTTATAGTAGTATAAATCACCCTACCCTGCACCCTTACCAAAGGCACAGATCTACACATACACAGATTGCTAACCTTATGCATTTTTTGGGAAACAAATTTAGGTATACTTAAAAGCGCCCTCTATTGCGGAGCAGTACAAACATGTACCGTTTAAAACTGTAATATGACACTTATGGATTTATGCGTTAGATGTCGCTGAAACAAAATTAAAGCGCTAAAGTTTGCACAATTCGAATTCCTTAATATTCGTATTATTACAGTGACATGATATGATAAGAGGTACGCTGAGCCATAATTGTTTCATTTAACACTACTCATTCGTCGTAAAGGAGTTATTAAAAGCGGGTACCTGTGGTCACAGATACACACGAACATAGGGCAGGTTCTTAAAGAATCGTGAAGGTTTTTTGAAGCGGGCGGAAATTATTTGCAGCTTTAAAGGTCTTGACAGATTGCTAACCGCAAAGGTATACTTAAAAACTATGTATATCTCTGCCATAATTAACGTTACACTCTTTACCACGCCGATAAGATTTGGAATACGTATGTTAAGTATACATATATGATCTCTTGAATACGTGTCTATAAACAAATCACAAAATAAATTCACCGATTACAAATATCAAATGCCAAAAATAACGAATAACGAATTCGAATTATGCACACTTTACCGCTTTACATTTTTTGCAGCGACATCTAATGGATAAATCCATAAGCGTCATATTACAGTTTTAAACGGTACATGTTTGTACTGCTCCGCAATAGAGGGCGCTTTTAAGTATACCTAAATTTGTTTCCCAAAAAATGCACAAGGTTAGCAATCTGTGTATGTGTAGATCTGTGCCAAAGGGGATGCATAATAATGAAACTTGCAACCCTTGCTAGTGATGACAAACGAAGGAAATATAATGTATAATGTATTAACATACATAAAACATGAAACAATGTCTTTCTTTACATTTTACAATAGCTTCCTTCTGGATTGGCTTTTGGCAAAAGTGTTTATTATGTCGTCAAAGTCCAATTTCTTCGTCAGATCAGATTCTATTGGTATGCGTAACATTAAAATACTGAAAATACTATTATGCTATGATCCACAAAGTCGTGCGAAGTTGCAAGAGGCTGAGACAAAATTCGGCAACGCTCGCCGCAGTCGGCAGTTCCGAGAGTTAGAACTACTACTACTACCACCACAGGCCACAGAACATCTGTGCTACTGCTACTAGTAGTAGGCTGTTACTGTACAATTGCACATGCAGTAAGTACTGAGTACGTTGATTACGCACTTTGACTACTACATTGTGGCAATTTTTGTTTCAGAACAAAATCTTAATTATAAGGTTGGTAAAACGGAAGGTATTGTCTTTGACAACGCAATTTTTTATTCATGATTAATTAAATACACGAAAAAAAAACGATTCTTTCCGTTTTTGCCGCCCTTTAAAATCTGCCGCTCTGGGCCATGGCCCGTCCGGCCCATCTGTAAATACGCCACTGTTTCTAATATACGTTTGCAATTAAAAAATTGTCTCACTTGAGTCCAATTTCATCCCCCCCCCCCCCCCCGCGGTAGGAATAGATATTTAAACGCTCTTGTGGCGATTGATAAATTAGGCAAAGAGTACAACGCTTATTACATATATTTATAATTATATATAATCCTCTTTAAATATATATTCCAACCGCTGTGGGGGGGGGGTGAAGGATGAAGCTGAGCTGAAGTGAGATAATTTTTTTGTTTCAAACGTATATTAGGAAAGCGCTACAATCTCACAGTGATTTAAATATCCCCACTAGCAAGAGTTGAAAGTTGAATTATGCATCCCCTTTGGTAAGGGAGCAGGGTAGGGAAATTTATACCACGATAAGTTCAAGGTATTTTCTTATAAAACTCTTAATTATAGAGATAAAGTATAAAATTTGGTTAAATCATCTACATACAAATTTTAGAATTCTTAAAAATATAAGCAACTCTGAAGCTCTATAGTATATATCGTGTTTAATAAACATTTCACAAAGTAGTGTATATCAAAGTTGTGTAGAATTTTATAGTCTACAATTTCTGATAACAATATTTTCTTGTAAAGTGAAGTTATACAAAGATATGATTGAAAAACTAAAAAACCAACCAAATTTCTTTGGTTTTAAGGGTGGTACGGGGAAGCACAAGAGGTGGAAGGTCGAAAACTTGGATTCTTAACCCCCAGATATTCTTCCATGACGTGCAAAAAAAATTGGAACTACTTCTCGTTTTGCAGGAAGTGGTCCATTTTCAGTCTATAGTTCAGACTATAATTATTATTATGATTAATTGATATTAAAGGATTCAATCAATTTTAAATGCCTAATATAAATAATAATGTGTAAATTGAAGAGCCCATTGAATTTAAAGTAGAGTCAAGTTTCGTTAAGAATTTAACTTTTATTCCGTAATTTAAATATATCAATCTACCCAAATTTATTTATTGCAGTTTGTTATATGATTGTGTAAAAAAAATGTCCGTGTATCTAGATATCAAGCGTTTCTGTGTCAGCAATGGAATTTTTATTTTTACCCAAAATCGTCCTGAAACCTTCATTTTCATGCCTACTTTCTGTCATGAAATTTTAGTTTCCATGAGGCAAAGCAGACTATGTTTCCTGCCGCTTGTCACTTTACTGGCCGCACCTGTCACTTGACCGGCCGCATTTGTGACATTTCCAATTGTCTGTAATGACTTGTCATCACTGACAGATTGACATTAATCAAAGTTCTATATAAAAATTAAAATTTTTTATTAAAATACGATTTCGAGTAAAATTTAATACAAAACTCGTCAGTAAAATGACATTACCTGACTCGGAAATTAAAGTACTCAGCCCCAAAGTGGCCTCGCACTTCAATACTTCCTCGACAGTAATGTATCACTTTCCTGACTTTTATGTAAATAACTAATAATTCACAACTCGAAATAATTGACAGGTCTGTCTGATAAGTGTATTGACTATTGAGGCCCATTCACGATAAATACCATATCACCGCCCGGCCAACTATCACGTTGAATTTTTTGAATCGCTCTGTGTATGTATTTTTGGTTCAAATTTGAGAAGGAAAATGCACTGTGGAAACATAATTTTAAATTACTTGCAATAAACATTTAGTGTTGTTCTATTGCCGGCGAGGTGTAAAATTGTGTACCTAGTAAGTTTTAGAGAAGCAAAGAAAAACTTCTACAGTAAGCAAAACCATAAAAAAAGGTAAAAAATTTAGTACAGAATAAGCTAGCCGACGGCAAATGATAATTGATTTGATTTTAGTACAGTTTTACTTCAGAATTTCTATATTTAACAAGGGGAAATTTCACTCCTTTCTTACAACAAAAACAGTTGCAAGTATTTCTTCAGTCTAATGTTAGGTCACTTTGTGCAAAATAATATACTGTGCTGAATAGACCCCAGTATTTGACATAGTACCACAAATCACACATGACTTGAAATTATGCACAGGATTGATCAGATATTCCATACCTTTCTTTTTACAACCTGTCCCTTAAATTCATCAACTGCCGTGTATGACATGCAGAAATCCAGTTTGTTCTCATTACTGTATCTATCGTCAATAAATTACTTACGAGAGAAAGTAAGGTTTTCACAAATTTAGTGACACAGGAGGCATTGCCAATCAGTTCGGTTTTTATGCCGCCTTCCGGTAAATCAATTCTCTTATCTTGATCCAGTACACTATCTACACTTAAGTACAGACTGGAATGTGACGGTCTGCAATAGAAAACGATATGATTGCATCAGTCATAAATTGTATACATACTTTAACCGTTGAATAACATGAATGCACAACCTTTGAAACATTTGTCGTACCATTTGATTGGGGCATTTTAGTAATACCTGCATCGGCCACCAAGTATCGTCCACCATGTGCTCCAAAAACCAAATGCAGGCATCCTGGCTAGCGTTAAATTGCTTTGTAACAAGCTCCACCCATTGCACCATTGTAGGCTGTAAGTGAATGTAAGTAACATGCACCGAAATACACTTAAGGTACCTTCTCTTTGGCATGAATAAATGTTTCAATAAAAAAAGAAGTTGAGAGCTGAGCGGCCTTTTGAGTAATTTCGGGCTGTATCGGCGAAATCGTCTGAGGAATATAACCGCAAATTTGCCAAATAAAGCTAGAGAAAAAATTTCAAAACGTGTTACAACGAATTAAGTTATCGTACTTAAAGTAGGTGTGCTCGAATATGTTTTTGTCCTGTATAAAATGCATATTATCCTCCCAGATCCAATCTTCAAGTTCCTTGCTAAGCTCAAAAGTGGTTGGGGTAGGAGACGCCGGTGAGATACTATTTAATTCCGATTCGAGAGCTGTCGACTGGCATTCCGTACCTTCCATAGGGACGGTCGGTTTGGGACAACGTTCATAAAATAACATGTAGGCGCTATTTGTTTTTTCGAAACTAAAATCCATAAACTTATCTGTGACGCTGTCATATGTTTTGCTCTAAAAAATCAATTGCTGCAGCACTCATTCATAAGTAAATAAGGCCAATTACTGTCATCTCCCCCCCGAAACACTCGGCGGCAATCTGATTGGGATCGAACGGCTTCACCTCGGCATCATTAAAGAGAAACCACTTATCGCGCGCGCCAGCGGTTCGATCTTTAATAAAGCTATAATAGTGACCGCCATCAGCGGTACCCGTGTGGACTGTAACTCCGATTAGGTCGTACTCATACTGTTCCGCTTCCTCAAAGTCATTTGAATTCAATTTCTCTTCTTAAAAAAGCATGGGCGTTGTTAACACAAAATAATCTACGATGTATGCTTACCTTGATATTGCTGTGGCATTAGCTGCTTTTCAACATAACCTTCCATATTTAACCGCAATGGAAACGAGAAGTGGGTGTTTACTTTCTCCTTAAGCATAGTTAACATGTTAAACGTATACCTCATCGTATTGAAACATAGAATTTGAGGTAATTTTTTAAAACACGCCCTAAAGTGATACTAGAAATGTACAATTTTGTATAGCCGTAAATGCTGAAATTACCTCTTCTCCGCTCGCACCTTTTTCCCGCATTGAGAACAAGTGTACATATTGTCACCCTCAAGCGTATCCTTTACGGTAACCTCATCCAAAGATTCGTACAAGTTTCTCATATCGGCGACTTGGCAGCGCACTGTATAAAATTCTTCTAAAGTTCTACTAACATGATCACAGTCCTATAATGGCATTATTACTAAGACCTCCGATTTCAATCATCTAACATACCAAAGATACAACATTGTTACTTATAACACCACAGAACAGAGTTTTAATAACTTTCTTCAAGGCAGGTGTCATCTCTTCCAACTTACTAACTAAATCGATAAAAAACTCAGCCATATCTTTTTGTTCGGCCGTATTTAAAGGTTGATGGTCCATAGTGTACACTTTACAAAAGCTTCTTGGGTTGTAAGCCTTTCTCTCACTTTCCTACGATTGTATAACATAAACGCCGTTCTTCAAATTAGTAAACTTACCAACAAGTAGGCGAACATACGCTGTAATTCCTTAAGAGTAGGTTCATGTTTAGAGTGTTCAGTGTTCGCGGAGAGTATTGAAATACGGGCTTGAGGCATCATGTATAAATGTTGCATGCAAGACGCCATATAACAAGTAGCACCTAAATTTGTTAAACCTACATATCCGCACTCCGATCGTCCATCTTCGTGTGGCCAATAATCCCAGGGATACGGTGAGTTAGGACCAGGCTGGTGCTGTTTTAATAGCTTCTCATGCAAAATTGCGTAATTCTTGGGCGCATTTTTTACTAGCTCGACTAACAAATCAAACGCTGCAGTTCTTGATCGCGCCGACTTGCATTTCGGCACGTGGCGCATTTTGGGATTAGGCAATTCGAAAAGAAAATCAAAAATTTTACTCAACCAATCCTGGCCAAGTTTATTACTTTGACAGGGTGGTCGATGTTTTAATAAGTTTGCTAATAAATTGAAAAGTCCAACCAGTCCGTCATCGTCAATTGTTCTGTGACGAGTTTCCAGATAGTCCCTGGTTAGTATAGAAACCGCTATTTTTTCAGTAAGAGCGTTAATGTCAACCACACAGTTGTTCGGCTCATCTAAACTTTCTGGAAGACGGAAGTGATTATTAAGGAACACGTAAAGTGGTCACACCTTTTACAATCTCGTTAGGTAGGCCGTCAACCAATCGCGATAGTAACCAAAAGTAGTCTCTGCATGCAGGCCCGTACGGTTCCTTCCCCTCTTCAGGAGCTTGAATAATCTGTAGAGGTTGGCATGAAGCAAGTTGTACAAGGACTAATTTATAATTACCTCTACTTTTTGAGGTCGCATGCTTTCTGCAACACTCAAGTAATTTAACAATTGGGATAACATTGGTGCAACTAAGTTGGTGTCGATTCCGTCGGTCCTACTCGACACTCCTAAACATAATCTGTATAGAGCTGAACACACCTCTCTCCTGACCGCAGGTTCAGGATCTTCCAATACCTTCAATAAAATAGAAATGATGTATTTTTATATTTTGTTATAGTTGATCCACAATGTCATTGGTCCAACAACAAAAATATATCCATTTTAAGAATGGCTGCGTCCTCTCTGTTCACCACTTGATTTCACCAAAGTCAAGTACTCTACCCACCATCATCAGTCGAAAAAGATGACTTTTGCCATTCATTTAGAACTCCTGGTCTTTCCTAGCTTATTCATACCTCGTAAAAAATATATGTTTCACTTTTACGATGTAAATTACCTTTTCTTTAAATAGAACACCCTGTATATTTTTAGTTGAGTCGATGTCATTTGTTAACCTGCACATTGAAAGCTATTCACTTTTTTGTCAGGCATTTTACTAATTTTTTTCTACATGAGAAAATTGAATTCAATGATACAGGGTGGTTCACAAGGAAATGGTGAAATTGACGAATTTCAAAATACTGTAACTATTTTTTCAATTGGAACTGCCACTACTTTATTTCACTATTCGATCGCGTTTTGTGTTCTCTTCTCTTCAATTTTTATAAGGGAAAAGGGAGGTCCTGTGTCTAAACCCCGTAGTTTTTCATTAGTAAATATTTTTTTAAAAAGTACCCACCCGCACTCATTAATTACATGTTTATGCACCAGAGTGGGCCATGATAATAAAAAAACAAAAGAATGACAGACAGTATGCAAGTGTCAATTTGGCAATTCAATAAATGTAGGTAGTATTAAAAAATAATAAAAAATAATGGTCACAGGCTATATCTATGGAACCGTTAATTGCACAGCTTCGGGAAAAAAAAATTGTTAACAAAAGGGGCCAAGAGAAATCGCTGGAAATTATTTTCAAGTTTCTAACTTCGCCGCTAGAGGGCGTATGATTCATGGTCAGGTAGAAAAATGACTTTTTTCCTAAAATATACCCAACAAACATGCATAAAAAATACATGCATAGTAATCTTGTATCAATTTTGCATCATTTTGATGGAGCACAAATTGCTCTAGCTCATAAAATATGAGGAGTGGTGGAAGGGGAACATCTCTTTAAGGAATGGATTGTAACTTCAGATTAGGTTAACAGATTTTCACAAAATAGGTCTTGTTGGAAGGAGCTCTCTTCGCGGAATCAGATTTTATTAAATAGTCTTTTTAGTAAATGTGATGAGTGGTAGAGGGCGCGATGTGACATTAACATAAACTTTGCAGGTTTTTTTGGTAATTTCAAATGGAATGATATTATTATTATATGATATTATCAAAAAAGGTGAAATAGTGAGAATATCAGTGAAAACCGGATTTTCATATCTGTTTTCTAACCATACATCTGGCGAAAATACGAATATATTCACAAATTTTAATTGCAATATTGATGCTCATTCAAGTTGGCTTTGAAACAAAAGAAAACAGAATAAAAGAAAGTTTATCAGTCCTTTCATTAAACGCATTCGTGCGAATTATCACCACGATGGGTGCCCGGCACATTTCTTGGTAAGCGAGAGTCGAGGCGACAGTGTTTGAATTTGAGTTATCCTGGCAAATGGATAGAAAGAGGAAGTATTTGTTCATGACCAGCTAGGTCACTCGACTTAACTTGCTTAGACTTAAATTTGTTTGAAAGGATAAAAGATGCACAGTCTTTCTAACAAGGCCAACTACAAGAAATGATATGGTGACGAGAATTAGAAATGTAATTCATAGTCATGGCTGAAGTTAAAGCAACTATTCTCTCTACACAGCAGAGACTCGTCTTTGTGTCGAAAATAATGGCAGACATTGAACATTTACGTTAATTATAATTATTATTTCTTTTATTATTTACTTAATTCATATTACTCTGATTTAAAGTTTGAATCATTTTTTTGTTGCTCATAATTAAAAAGCTTAGATTGAGTGTTAATTTTGAACTGCCATCCCCTCATTCACTTCGACATAATTATCGGTTGCTATGTGTTCATTTGTTTCAAATCCAACTTTGATGAATATAAATATTGCAATTAAAATTTGTGAATGTTCGTATTTTCCCCATATCTCTGCTTAGAAAACAGATATCAAAATGCGGTTTCACTGATATTCTCACTTTTTCATCTTATTTGATAATATAATATAATAATTATATCGTTCCATTTGAAATTTTTAAAAAAACTTGCAAAGTTTATGTTAATGTCACATCGCGCCCTCTACCACTCATCACGTTTACTAAATAGACTCTCTTCATGTAAAATCTGATTCCACGAAGAGAGCTCTTTCCAACAAGACCTATTATGTGAAAATCTGTTAATCTAATCCGAAGTTACAATCAATTCCTTAAAGAGAAGTTCCCCTTCCCCCACTCCTCATATTTTATAAGCTAGAGCAATTTGCGCTCCATCAAAATGATGCAAAATTGATACAAGATTACTATGCATGTATTTTTTATGCATGTTTGTTGGGTATATTTTAGGAAAAAAGTCATTTGTCTACTTAACCATGCATCGTACGCCCTCTAGCGGCGAAGTTACAAACTTGAAAATAATTTCCAGCGATTTCTCTTGGCCCCTTTTGTTAACAAAATTTTTTCCCCGAAGCTGTGCAATTAACGGTTCCATAGATATGGCCTGTGACCATTATTAATGGGACACCCTGTACAAAGGAAAATATGTTTGCCTTCACTACAAGAATCTTTGGTTCAAATTAAAAAAATATATATCTCTATAAATATGAAAGTTGGCATTGCGTAGTTTCCACATGCCCACATCTGATTTGTGCAATATGCTCTTTGGTTAAAATTTAAACGAGTACATCCATAAATAAGAAACATTGCGCAGTCTTTAATCGTCAAGATTTTTCTTGGTTGAGGTGCCAGAGCTATGCTGCCGCATGCAAAAAGAACGCACTAAATATCTTGAAAACTGTAGGATGGATAGTGAAAGTGCCTATAAAAGATACCAGTTCCAGTCTGTGTGGCGCACTGGACTTTGAGTTAAATTTTTATAAAAACACACATGAAAAGAAATGTAATAAAATTGATGTAATTAGTAATTACAATAACTATTCAGAATGCCTTCCATCTATCCTATCTTCTTAATATACAGGGTGTCTTAAATTGAGTAGGATAACATGGCTATCTTTGTTATTATTAAACTTACAGATTCAGTGAAATTGGCAAAGTTGTGTAGTTTTTGATGCTGATGGATATTCCGATGCGATATTTAAAAAAAAATTAGTTTCGTAGATAATTGGAAAGAAGTGAAAATCGCCATTTTAAAAAATTCAAATCGAGATTCAAATATTTTAGTAACAAATGGCGGTTTTCGAGATATTGACATCAACTTCCTTATTTTAAATGGACGCTGTATTGGATTTTTACGTCACTCGAAAAAAAATTACAAACAGTGATTCTAAACACTTAGTATTTCATTTGGGAATCAACCTTGCATTTTTGCCTCGAAGCTTACAATGTATTTTTTATGGCAATAATTCCATGTCCATCATGACAATAAACGAACAAATTTGGGTTCAGTCACAATCAGCCATGCAATTATTGCCATAAAAAATACATTGTAAACTCACACCCTACTCCCAGGCATAAACATAAACATGTAATTAATTAAAGGGTAGATATTACTTTCGTGAAAAATATTGAATAACCTGAAAACTACGGGGTTTAGATACAGGACATCCTTTATAAAAATTGAAGACAACACAAATTACTATCGAATAGCGAAATAAAATAGTGGCAGTTCCACAAGGAAAAAAAATAGTTATAGCACTTTGAAATTCGGAAATTTTTTGTGAACACCCTGTATCACTAAAGCCAACTAAAAAAACAAAGTCACTACAATTCATCAAAGTAAGGCTTGCTTATGGGGAATTATTCCGAAAAAATTTAATAAGATGGCAACCAAACAATGAATAGTTTCAATGCGGAGGTTAACATGTCAAAATATACAGGGTGTTCTATGTTTAAAAATTATTTATATACACCGTAAAAATGGAACACCCTGTACATTCAAAAATAATTAATAATAATTGACTGCACAAAAGGTTTTTTTTACAAGATATGCGCTAGGAATATTTGCAAACCTGCTGCAATTCTGATAATAATAATTGTGATGTTTGATATATTTTTCTCGATATCTATCAATCGTCAAATAATTATTTGATAATCGGTTATCAAAATAATTGTATCAATATATCAAAGGTACTATCACCACTTGGTACTATATTAACTCTATAAGACTAAGGTAAAAGTCGGTTAATCAAAGTTGAATGCAAAAGTCAACTATTGATTATTCAAGAATCAATGTGAACAAAAGAAAAAGAAAAGGTTTTTTATTTTTCATTGCCAACTTTTTTTAAGTGGGCGATGTTTCAGTCAAGGTTGCTTTACCAATTCAACCCACTAAATACCTGTGCAAAAACTATGAGCCCTTACACTATTACGAAACTGACGCATCTGAAATTTTTTTCAAAAAGGTCAAATGGTTTTCCATATGCAAATCAATAAGCGTTTTATTTACCAATACTTACCAATCTTTGTAACCAAACAGAAAAATTTGGAGTTTGAAACAAGGCCTGTTTAGCTTCTTCACTACAGTGCAACCATGAAACTAGCAAAGCCATCGCATAATGCACAACCTAGAAGTCAAAACAGTGGTGTGCATTTACAGATCATATTTCAACCGTACCTGAGCTCTGCCCCAAAAACCAGTTTTATAATAATTTGGATCTCTAGGCAGAGATACCTCTTGTAAAATACTGGTTAACCGTGGCATCGTTTCCTTCACATTCATCATGGACAATAACGCCTGCAATGCCCAAGTATAACTGTTAGTAAACAACATTGTTGGAATGTTACCTCGTTCAAACTGGGTATAATAATTTTTTCAGATCTGCTAGGTCTAACATCCTGCAGAAGTGGTTCGACACCTAAATGACATAAAAGTTTTAAAAGTGACGCTAAGCAATCCTGTTGCCATTCGCTCCCATCGTCTGCCGACTGTTGCAGTACACCTACGAGCTATCCTTACAATCTGATCTAATTCAAAATCTCTCAATTTACCTGACATAAAAATATCAAAAAGATGTCTAAGACCGCCTTGCTGTATGAAAACTTGACTCCACGGCTCTTGCCGCTTTACGTCTCCTTTCTCACAATTTGTTTTAATACTGAGCGACTCGACAATGTAAATCGAATACATTAACTTTTGGGGACTGGACGGATCCAACAGTTCACTAAGAGTCATGTTCAATTGTTGAAAGCCTTGCAACAGGGTGGGATTTGTAGGTAATAGGCTGAGGATATCCCAGACTCGTCGACTAAGAACTTGAGCCTTTGTATGCGGAATTTCGTGCTAAACGAAATCATTTTTGATAAAAGCAGCACAGCGTTATTTACGAATACTTACACCACCCTTCATTGTTGTTGTCATGGAACTTAAGATATGCATTAAATCGAAAAGTTGCTCAAAGTAGTTTGTTTTTAATAACAGAAGCGTGGGGATTGACTCTCGAGGAGGAGGCGGCTGCAGGGATGGCGAATCCATGCAATCGCGTTTCTTTATTCCACGCCCTGCACCAATTTGTATATAAATCATCTGGAAACAATCTCATGTAGTTAAAGAAATTGAAGCTTTCTCATTTTACTTGATTATCCTTAAACCCCATTTCGGCTAACGTCTTTTCATCACAATCCGTACTTAATTCTTGTCCTTGGGTTATAATTCGTATGAATCCTTCCTGGAGAAGCGCCAAATTATTCGATCTACCGTGTGATTCCGAATTTTTCATCTAAATCAAACTTCGTAGACATTTCAAATAATCCACAATCAACTTACCTGGCATAGTTTCTCCCACCATGTGACTACTTCCGCCCGAAGATCGGCAATGTAATCCGAATTGAGCAAATCTAACACGCATCTTTCGGACATTCCCGCATGCTGAATAATCAACCTGATTAGAACCGAGGATCGATCGCCTAAAGCAGAATGACTGCCAACGCCCTTTCCTTCTAAATCCCATCGGCGCAGGTGATACGCGTATCTCCGGCGAAATGTTTCCATGTGCGTCTTAAGTAATAGGAGGCCTCTTTGTATGCAAAGTAATGGCGCTTCTTCGGCGCCAGAACCTTTTGCACCGATGAGATCTTGTGTGGCCGCATCTAAATGTGTCATGCATTGCCATACGAATTGACCTTCGTGTTGCAAATTTTGACCCATGTAGTAACTATTTAAGTACTGAATCGCTGCCATACTAACATCTACAATACAAGAACGTTGCGGATTAGTGGGCTAAGTAGGAATGGGATACCGGTATTATTCGCGCACAACGCAATTTTCCACATATGATCCATTCCGACGACGTATCCATCTTGACCGTGTGTGTCCATGTTGGCCGTGGCAATTCGGGCGAGATTGCAGAGTTGTTGAAACAGACTCAAACATGTCATACTAAAGTGTTCAGGTGGCAAACTGGGCAAGTGTATAACGTATAGCCGCTTAAGTGCGGCGTTTCCTAATGCATGCAACTCGGAGCTCTTGCATTGCGATAGTAACCAACTAAAGAGTTCGTCTGAACATTCAGGGTCGTGTGCTAGACATTCCCAAAGTGTATCAACTTGTTGTAAATTCAATCTAAAACCCGCCCTTATTTGCTAACCATATAAAAATGTGGGAATACTTACTTAAAGGTTTGGGGTGATCCAAGGGGAGAGAATACGGCCGACAGAAAATGTAAGCGTACCTGAACTTGCATTTGATGGGAGTATAACGGTAACGCTTTCGATGGTTCGGCCGAATACGTCTTTAAGTTGTTAAAAAAGTGGGCCATCATGTGGTGTTGACGTTCCGCCCAGTGTGTGATATGGTGCATATCTAACCCGCGAAACTGTTGGAATGATGTTAGCAACTTTGGTAGTAAACGTAGTGACACTATTACAGATCTGAAAATTAAGCATTTCTTTGAAGTTTAAGAAGATGTGAAGTTACAATCACATACTTAAAGGGGTACATTCAATTTAGAAATGATATCCTATTGCTTACTCAAGATTATTATCAGCCTGTATAAATAGATTATTAGATAAAATGATCTTACCCTCCTCCAGAAAAAGGGAGAAGGAAACAGAACATACCAGAATAAGTTAAAAAAAATCTCTGATGTGCCATCACCAGACTTCAGCGAGTTTTTTATGTAGCAGACTGCTACTGCTTTCAGACTATAGCGATGCAAGAATAACTTGATTGTAGATATCTAATGTTGAAACAAGGAGGGATCTACGACATTCCGAGATCTCGATCGGTTTATAAAGGCGCCCGAACGAACGAATAGTCTATAGTTAGTGAAACTATAAGAACTCTAAGGTTCTACAATTAGAGTTAAAGGCCAGTCCGAATCCTGCAGCACGTCCAGTGGGAGTTTTCGAGACAATAAATAAATCGGTTCCAATTTACGTGAATTCGTATACTTTGCTAACGCCGCGGCGGCAAATGTTTCTGGCACTGACTACACGCGGGGTAGTCTCGCGCACAGGTACGTTTTCATGCTTCGCGCCGGCCCTTGATTTTTAAAGTGCTTACAGCGGACGTAAATATCAATATTTTGCACCCAATTTTTTTCTGATCATTTTTTAATAACAAAATTTCTCGAGTTGAGTTAAAATAAAACGAATACCAAAAATGTCAAACCTCCCTATTAGACCGACAATGAAGAGACAAATATAGCAAACGAGCTCTTGGGTATGGCTATAGCTTGGCATTGCATATTATACGGGGTGTCAATTTTAAAACTTGTAGTCGGCCATATTTTCCAAACTAAAGATGATCGCGACGTTATGAATGACAACCCCCCAGCTCCCCTCTTCAAAAATCCTAAATGGCAACCCCATACTTGTGATACATCGTTGGAAAGCTATTGAAAAATGCTTTCCAGTGGTACCAATAAAGTCAATATTCCCAGCAATATTCATTAAGACAATTTAACAAAAATTTAATAATTAACAAAAAAAACAAAATGTTGACATTGAGGGATTTATGGCAAATTGGTCAAGAACTTCAACCTGAATTCTTAAGCAATCTTGGTTGCTTTCTTTTTTTTATTGATAACAGATCCCATTTCTTCGAATTTAGCGACCAAATCTTGAACATAGGCATGGCGTAATTTTTATTTCTTTTTGTTAAATAAAATAGGTCTTTTTGAAGCCTATTTACAAGGAAAAAATTTTAATGTCATTTGCGCACTGGCTGAAATACGATGAAGTTGAAGGTTTAAGAATCAACGACTGGATAGTGGCATCTGCCTTTTGTCGAAAGTTCAAAATACACGGCGGGGCTTTAATTTTGATCAAACAAAATGGTCTCGTTTGTAAACCCCTTGAGGTAATCAACAATTTGTCTGTAGAGGTGCACTGTGAAGTCACTTCAGTATTAATCATGGAATACGCTTTGGTTATTCTTTCATGTTACCGTTCTCCCTCGGGTGATTTTCAAATTTTCGTAAATCAGTTTGAAGAAATTCTAACCAAGTTATGTAAATACAATAATATAATAATCGCAGGAGACTTTAATGTATCATTTAATGAAACAGGTGATAATAATGCTACACAATTATGCAACTTATTAAGTGCTTACGGTTTTATTAAAACTATTGTGGTACCTACACGCAAAAAAAATTGCATAGACAATATTTTTATCAACTTCGGAGTTAATAACTTTCAGTGTAATATTCTGGACACAAATCTTTCTGATCATTATGGTCAGGTAATTACTGTGCAATGTGGTAAAACTAAATGTAATGAAAGTGTAGATAGTGTTAAGACGTACAGGCCGATTACTAGGTACGGAACCCTCAGCTTATTTAGAATTTTGAACGAGTGCGACTGGAGCTATCTTAACGACACAAGTATTAATTTTAACAAAAAATTCAGTGTGTTTTTTGAAAATTTTTGTGACTCATTTAACATCGCGTTTCCGGAAAAAACTTTAACACTAAGAAGAAACAAAGACACTAACATAAAATGGTTCACTGACGATTTAAAAAATCTCCGCGGTGTTTATCAGCTCATATGTGAGATGTATGATAGAGATAAATCCGAAGAGCTTCGTAATATCAAACGAATTGTTTTTAATAAATATAAAACAGCAATTAAAAATGCTAAAATTTCTGCTAATAGTGCGGCTATAAACTCCTCTTCGAATCCTATTGGTACAATGTGGTCAATTGTTAATTCTCATAGAAATTCAAATAAGGTGATTAAATACAATATAAATTGTGATACTTTTAATAGACATTTCGTTAACAAATCCGATCTGGCGAAAACTAACATAAATCAAACTTTAAGTGATAGTTCGAGGGTTTGCAACATTAGGATAGCTTCGCATTTAAAATTTTCACTTACTCCTGTATCACCGATTGAAGTTAGAGACACTATACTTTCTTTATCAAATAGTAAATGCAAAGACATATACGGCGTGACCACGACCCTTATAAAAACAAACGTTAGTGTTTATGTTCTACCTCTCACCAAATTAATTAATGAGTCGTTCTTAACTGGCATTTTTCCCGATCAACTGAAACTCGCAGCAGTTTTACCATTACATAAGAAAGGCGACGTAGATAATGTTACAAATTACCGGCCCATCTCTGTCTTACCAGTTTTCTCGAAGGTTTTTGAAAAACTGATTAATAAAAGAATTGCTAAATATTTTGAAGATAATAAACTCTTCAGTCATAATCAATTTGGGTTTCGTGGTGGGAGGTCTACATCTGACGCTATCGCTAAATTTGTAAGACTTACGCTTAATTGCTTTGAAAAAGGTGAACACGCTTGTGCAATTTTCATAGATCTGTCTAAAGCGTTTGATAGCGTACAACATCTAATTTTATTAGGCAAGCTCGAGAAAGTCTATGGATTTGATGTTACTAGCAAACTCCTCATTGAATCATACCTTACAAATAGGTTTCAATGTGTAAGGATAAATAATAACCTATCAGAAAAACTCTGTATAACGAAAGGAGTACCCCAAGGTAGTATTCTGGGGCCTCTTCTCTTTTTAATTTATATTAATGATATGCCAAGCTTTATTTCTGGAAATGAAAACTGCCTTCTTTATGCAGATGATGCTACCTTACTTGTTGGAGACGAACACATTAACAGGGCACTAAATAACTCCAATGAATTACTTCAACGAGCTTGGTGCACTATAAACTTATTACATATAAATACAATGAAAACGGTATCCATATTATCACATGATTTATCAACACCTGAATATGTGAAATTTCTAGCAATTTGTATTGATCGTAAATTAAATTTTGATGTTCTCGGTAATTTTGTTGCTACGAAGTTAAGCAGAAATATATTTGTTTTGCGTAGATTAGCGAGTAATGTAACTATGAATATTCTTAAAAGTGCCTATTTTGCACTCAAACTCATACATAGCCACTTGTCTTATGCTATTAATGTTTGGAGTCACTTTGCTTGTTGGAGGCAATTATTTAAATTACAAAGAAAAGCCGTTAGAATTATTGCTAACATTTCATTTAGAGATGATTGTCGGCAAGCTTTCATTGATCACCAAATATTAACGCTTCCATCTATTTTTATTTTTACTTGTCTTTGTTTTCTTAAGCGCAATGAACATTATTTTGTTAAAAATTGCGATGTTCATAATTATGACACCCGCAACAAATTAAATGCATTTGTCCCTTTTTGCCGTTTAAGTAAGACGCAAAACAGTTTTGATCATATCAATATAAAAATGTATAATTATATTCCTCCCAATATTAAGGCTTTACCTTTTAATTTATTCAAATCAAGAACTAAAGCATTTCTTATTGATAAAGCGTTTTACTCGTATGAGGAATTTTTCAGTACAGAGTTCTTTTTGTTATAATTTTGTTTGTTCTTACATTTGTAATATTTTTATTTTGCTTTTGTATTGACTTATGTATGTACGCTGTTCTACAAAACATTAAATAAGCTTTATTATTATTACTTATTATTATTAAATAATTAAATTTTTGTTAATTTGTCTTAATGGATATTGACTTTATTGGTACCACTGGAAAGCATTTTTCAATAGCTTTCCAACGATGTGCCACAAGTATGGGGTTGCCATTTAGGATTTTTGAAGAGAGGGGGCTGGAGGGTTAAGGGGGTTGTCACTCATGTCATTATGGTTCCCTCTCGATACCCCCGAAACGGTTTTACGCGATTTTCAATATCTTCTTTAGTTTGGAAAATATGGCCGACTGCAAGTTTTAAAATTGACACCCCGTATGGCAAAAGCTACATTTACCTACATTGTCAATTCACAAACTCCGATCTACAAATGTGGTAAGGAATCCACCTGAAAAATTTCATCGTAATCGGTCGATTCGTTTTCGATATATCGTGCTAACGGAGAGACAGATAGACAGACACAGCAAAATTATGAACTCGCTAGGGCCTTGTTAATAAGGAGAAGGGCCCGCTTAAAGAACGGGCTCGACTTTGGTGACCTTCTTGTACATTACAAAATGGATAATACCATAAACCTCAATTTTCTTTAATTCTACAGAGTTTTTCTGGCTTATGCTGTAATTGGCAAGTGGCAAACAACTGAAACACTAAATAAGATGGTAATAGCAACAAAATTATGTGTGCCGGTAATCCCCCCCCCCCCATTCGTCCATGGTCTAACTAAATGTTCCGCTGCAAAGATACAGGTCGATATATAAAAGGCAACCTTTGACTGAAATTCATAAATTATTAACTGTAAACATTATTATTATTATTATTATTATAACTGTGGCAATGAGAATGACCTTCAGTTTGTAAACAAAGCGATGCAGGAATAACACGCCAGTACGAAACTAATGCTGTAAACCCTAAGGCTCTATATCAGGCATGGGCAACCCAAGACCCATTTTTATAAAACATGACAGTACTATGCAAAGTTAGGTCATAAAAATTACAGCTATTCAGATTTTATTTGTCAATTTTTTTAAGTTGGCAGCAAATTGGCCAAAAATGGCGGATGATTGCGGTACTTTCTATATCTAGTGACTTTAATGATTATTAAAGTAACTAAATATAGAAAGTACCGCAATCCATTGGGCTCGTGTGTTAGAGAGAGAACGCATGATTTTTGCCCAAAAATGGCGGAAGTTACCAGATTCTAGTAACTTTAATGTTAGTGATTGTTCCACCTGTTTGGAGATATCTGTATATATTTTTATAAAACATGACAGTTCTAAGAAGTTAGGTTATAAAAAATTACAGCTATTCAAATTTTATTTGTCAATTTTTTTAAGTTGGCAGCAAATTTGCCCAAAAATGGCGGATGATTGCGGTACTTTCTATATCTAGTGACTTTACAGCAAGGTACAGTCGGATGGCAGCATCTAGTGGACGCAATCCGAAGCTTCCAAGACGTTTGAAAGCCTCTTTGAAGATGCATTTCTATTTTCACTGATATCGCCAGGTATTTTCCAGAATTTTCGTCGCGATATATACCGGGTGGGGCAATAAAAGACGCGCGTTTTGGGATTCAGCAACATTTTTAAGCCATACATTGCAATAAATCTTAAGAGCATAAATGAAAATTTGGATTTGGGGATTTTTTATCCACATCTGGTAAACTTTGTATGCAAAATTGTGCCAATTTTCAAAAGTACTTATTGATTTTTTTTTAATGATTTTTACGAAAGAAAAAGACCAAAAAGATTTCTTTAAACATACTTTTTATTTGTATTTTAAACTTTGGCCCCTTGGAAAAAAAGGTTGCCCATGCCTGCTTTATAATCTACCCTTTTTGTAGCTATCAGTAGATTTATAAAAGGCGCCCGAACGAACGGACAAACGGCCGCCGTTGTGTGTAACCTGACAGATCGGGAACTATTACACTAAAACCGACCTACGTAGCTCAGATGAGCTTGCGTTAGTACCTCTAACTTTGGCTACAAGGGTCCTGGGTTCGAATCCCAGGTAAGGTATGGCTGTTTGTGATTGTATAGTGGGTTGAGTGGGAAGAGTAGCAACTTGCTAACACTCCGCCCACTATAAAATAAAGGCAATATTAAAAAAACGGTGCAGGAGTAACATGATAGAACGAATATAAAGTCGAAAACCTGCAAGCTATACGATATTCCGTTGCCGAGACCTTGAACGATTTATAAAAAACTTAATTGACGCCCGAGAAAAGGGAAACACACAAAAGACGCTTCTCTAACGGCCGGTTGCAGGAAAGCGAATTATAATCAAAATCCTACATTATTTGCCAAATCTGAGTTTGAACAAGGATTTTGACATTTGATTGGCTGCCTACTGCAATATAAAGCCAATCAAATGTCGTAAAAGCGGATTAAACAATAATCCTGGATTATTTTTTTTTGTGCATCTGGCCGTAAGTTCGATATAATTAAAAACTATGTACCGCCTTTATCAAGTACTTACACATTATTCGCCAAGTTGTGCAGGCAGCCTTCAATAAATTTCATTCTAATGAGACGATCCGTATTAAAACATAATAAATTGCATAGCGTCTTCTCGGCTTCCAATGCGAGTCCCTCGCTCAATAACCCCTAAAAAATTGGACTCTCGAGTATTAATCCCCAAGAGTAAGTACCACTCACAATTTTATTATCCTGTACCAAATCCCAAAGTAAAGTATTTCCCGGCTGACAGACATTATCGATTTGAAAACAGGCCGAAAGTTTTGGATCAAGGTGAGTTGGTGATTTTTCTGGAGAAGACTGGTTGGCTAAGGTGTGAAGGTTTAGTTGAGCCTAAAAAAAATTGCCATAACAGAGGGTTAGATGATTTTTAGTTATATATTACATGTTCAGCTAACTGTGCAAGCTCCTCTTCACAAACAGAGTCCTCGCCATCAAAGTCTGCCATGTTTTTTTCAGACTTTGTACTCATTCTTGAAGAATAACTTCCATCTGCGTCGCCTTCCGCTTCGGCTTCTTCTCCACTCAATAATTCCAAAATATGTCTACAATTTAATGCTGATCATTGTCAAGGGTAAACAATTGATACTTACTCAGATGCTCGAGGGTGAATAGTTAACAAGGAATTAACGCAGGTGGCATCATGGCCTTCCAAACCATGTGTATCTTTGCTGAGTTCGCTGCAAGACGAACTATCTTCCAAAAAGACCGCTTCTTTAAGTCCCCTAAATTTGACAATTTTAAGGTTGATTAATCTCCATATTGACACTTACGCTTCAACAAGACGATTGTTTTCGTTAGCCAAAATAATACTAGATGCATCCTTTAAACTTGAATTTTTAAGATCGTGCTCGCTATCAGCATCAACTTCGCTCAGCACTTCCACATTCGCCACATTATGAGGTTGCTTACTTTTTTTCGCTACATAAAACAATCTCAATTAATTAATACAGCGAAATGTCAAAATTCACCTTTAAAAACTTTATTCCTAGTCTTACGTAATAGTTTCCGACGTTTCCTTGTGAACGGGCAAGCAATGTCAGCCTCATCATGAGAACTACTTGAATTAACTGTTTCGACACCTTCCGGCAATACTGTGACATCTACCTTTTTTCTTAATTGGCATCTACAAGTACAAGTTATACAGTTTGAAATAATCCAACATAAATTTACATTTGCCGCTTTGATCCCCTAATTCGATTGGAAATAATAGACCCCTGATTTTTCCTGATAGGTACAACTTTAAGTGGATCCCCTACGTAAAAAAACCAAAATTATTAGGAAAAAATTGCATGGCCAGCATAGGCCTGGATCTCACTCTAAAATTTTCGTATGATAAATAATTTAAACAAAGGTTTCTTAACAACAGTTGTTGTAACGTTTGTTGTTAACAAGCTTTCATTTAAATTATATTTGATACCAAATTTTTGCAGCGAGATCTTGGTCTAGTACCTTCCATTTCAAACTCGCTGCTACTTCCATCACACAACGCTTTATTATCATTTAAATTTAAACCTTTTCTAGCTACTCTACACGGCGAATCTTCGGCATCGACCACGATCGGAGGATCTTCCATTTCCTCATCAAGTTCGACTCCATCGATATCTTCGCTTTCCGATTTGTGACTATCCGACTGAACCGAACTGTCCCCCTTATAAACAATACGACTACGTAAGATGACAGCAATGCTTACAAATACTCTTACGTGATCCTCTTCGCTACTTGGCTCCATGCTAACGCTATTTTCTGACGAACTCGGACATTTATGCAACGCGATTCCGGCCGCCGATGCTGCCAATCCGATTAAACCGGCGTCAATTCCCGCGCCTCCCCTTGTCCATATAAATTTACTTAAAGCTGATGCCAAAAATAGTGTCTGAAAGTGCAAATTGGTTAGTTGCAATTTGTAAACAAGACGAATTTTATTGGGACATTTTCGGCAATAAGAGGAAGTTTCCCAAGCAGCCTTAAATAGGGAATGAACCCAATTAATAAAAATTATGTACTGAATAAATATTATAATAAACGTGCTTCGGCGCGTAAGATATTGTAGCGAATATTCTAGAAACCCAATAGACATCGAAGCGCCAGAAAAGATCTGTCATTGGCGATAAGAAACGAAAGTGGGTGTGACGCACTCTTTCCGGGAAATGTGACATGTTTGTTCGAGAATATTCGCGAGTGTTTGGAAGCGTTTAAGAAAAAATAGGCGTTTACAAATCGAATTGTGCTTCAGGGAGTTCTAACAGCGTTGCCGTAATGAAATATTAATGATTAATAGTTCGCGCTCGTGTTGCGTTATAAATTTCGGTACCCATCTTGTATGGGAGGGTTGTAGGGGATGGCCCTAAAAATGATACTATGACACACAGGGTTAATGCAGTTATATGGTGGCCAAAAGTTGAGCAAACAACTGCACAGAAACAGCTGCAGCATATATAAAGGCTAGCAGGCGATGGGAAGTGCTATAGCACTGCACCGAACCAAGAGATGCAAACCGGGGAATTTACTAGGTCATCTAGCAATTCTTATACTAATAGCACCTTATTTCAATACAAGGTACAGTTTCTGATTTAGTAATATGAGCGGAAAACAAATGTTATCATAATTACCTGCTCTGTGTGATCCTTTGGTTCCATTTTAAACAGTAGACTGTACAGATGTAACGCAGGTGCTGCCGATAAGTGCTTTACAAGGCCAGGTAACAAATCGTGAATAGTTTTCGAACAATGTTTAAGTTGGGCAGCAGCCCATATTGTGTCAATATGATCGCAAGTAATCCGTCCTTGCATAGCTAGGAAATTCAGTACAATATGACTCTGTTTAATAACTTCCACGTGTAAATTTGGACCAAATATGTGAACAATGATATTATTGTTGATCAGCCAATCAGCCATATGCCTTGGCGCCGCTTCGGCTTCCGGTAACGTTTCACCAACACACAACTCTGCCAAGACACCTATTTGATTATTTATTTGCGTTATACCAGCCAGTCGCATCGTTAAGGTACTCGACGTAAAATATTTGAATGCCAAGTCGAGGCCGTCGATATCAAAAGCCATGGGTGTGTCCAACGGATCTTTGATAACATTCCACATGAAATCTAAAAAAAAGTTTAAATGCAATGGGCGTAATGTTAATGTAGCTAGCAGAGCACTATCCCAAGAATAGAAATCGACATAGGGTATTAACGAACGTTTAGTTTAGAAATTTATTGCTTTTGATTCAGATGCAGGATCCATTATAGCGTACTTGCGTGAATTCCGTCCGTCCGTCTGGGAGTTTGAGATCTCAGCTGCGGTTCTTTTTTATTTGTAACTTCCCAGCTGTTTGACCAATCATACGCGTAAATGCGACCTTTTATATGGCTATATAACTAAGAAAATAACTTTTAAAGAAAATTTACAATCTCGCATATATAATATATATAATAATAATAATAATAATAATAATAAAGTTTATTGTGTTTAGGGAATCAACAAGAATTACATACACTCGTCATCAAACATATTTCTAAATGGGGGTTTACAGTATAGTTGAATTTCGCAGTTCTAATTTAATAAGCATGTGCTTGAAACCATAAAACATTGTTTTGGACAGTAAAAGTTTATTTAAAAATAGAGGCTGACTAGAAAAAAAATAATGAACATGTGCGGTTTTAAGGGTTTATTCAAAACGATGTGATTGTGGCGGGCTCTGTGACGTAATAAACCCGACCAATCAGCTCCTAGAACCATTCAGATGACATAACGACTTGGCAATATTGCAGGAGAATGTCATTTGTAACTTGCGTCATCTGTCACAGGCATTTGTCACTTGTCGTTCTCTTTCGCGTTAAACATGCCTCTTAAAACGTCAAATTCGACAAACGTCAGACCCTCGCACAAGGTTGCCGGCTCACTTCTACGTGATTGGTTGTAGGTTTGTGACGTATTTAGACTGAAACGTTTCAAATTCGGACTAAAAACACAGCTTTTCAATAATTTATTTTGGGTTTATTTTACTCGCAAATTTAAATTGAGGACACATGGGTCTTTTTATTTTTAATGTACTTTGTAGATCAGAAATAAAAAATGAAGCCGGGATGACCCCATTGTAACCTATAGCATCAAACTAAAATCGAAATTTATAAATTCATCCGTGGAGTAAAAGGCGTGAGCTAAAAGAACATTTTTAATACAGCGATTAAATTCTCGATTGGGTAGTGCTTTGACGGTATCAGGTAAACAATTGAAAAACTTTAGTGCCATGTATTCAAAACCTTTTTGAGTTTTGTTGAGTCTCAATAAAAGGAGACGAACAGTGCTTTTATTTTGGGTGTCATAATCGTGATAAAAAGCTTGTTGCTGATAATTTAAAATGTTCTTTCTTGCAAATCTCAAACACGATTCAATAAATAAACAGGGTAACGTCAAAATGTTTAGATTAGTAAAAGCACACCTACAGGCCACTCTATAACCAAGCTTCGCAATGATCCTTATTGCGCGACGTTGTATTCTAAATAACTGGCTACTTGCTGACGAATTACCCCACACAATAACTCCATAAGATAACAAACTATGACATAAAGCATAATACGTATTTCTGAGGACATCACACGACACCATATCACATAATCTACGCAAGACAAACAGATTTTTACTTAGTTTTGATTGAATATAATCAATATGAAGAGTAAACTGCAACTTAGGGTCAATGTGTATTCCAACAAATTTTACTGATGGCGAATAAGATACATCATGGCGTTTTAAAGAGAATAACAATTGTTCAGTTTTCGTTGAATTTAAGTTTAACTTATTAGCAGTGCACCACTCTTTAGTTTTGTCACAGAGAGATTGAGCTTCAGATATAAACTGGGCAACAGAGTAATGTCATCAGCATATAGAATGTAATTATTGTTTGGTGAAATATAACTAGGAAGGTCATTGATATAAAGAAGGAACAGGAGTGGGCCAAGAATACCACCTTGGGGGACTCCTTTTGTAATTGCTAGTGTACTGGACTGTTCATTACCAATGCGGACATATTGAGATCGATCGGATAGATACGATATTAGAATTTCTCGAACTTCAACAGGTGGTACTAAATCGAAACTAAATTTTGGATTACGATTGTCGATAGTACAAATCTCAATTGGATTAAGGTTAGAAGTTGGCAAAACATTCATATCATAGGAATCTCTAGAAAAGTGATCGTTAAACTCATTTGCCTTAATATTGTAACAAACTTGTGTTGATGAACGTCTGTGGGAATTAATAATACTCCACATAGTACCTATTGGATTAGACGACAATTTAGTTGCGTCACTATGTGCAGAGATTTTAGCCCTTTTTATAGCTTTTTTATAAGATGTATAACAGTTTCGTTTCAACCTCAAAAGATTTTCTGATCCATAATTTAAATACATTTCACAAACTAACTCATAGGTTTGTTTCAATTGCTTAAGGTCGCGAGTAAACCATTTGATTTGGGTTCTTTTATTATTCAGGCTAATAACTTTTTTGGGAAAAGCTGCATTAAAAGCGTCATAAAAGTGATGAAAAAATAGGGTAAATTTCATATTGGCATCCAAGTAGTTACTGTTTAGGTAAACCCAACTACTGCTACTTAAGATTAAGTAGTAAAATAAAGTATAAATTTGGATGCCACGGTCATATTGCTATCATGCATTGAGTTCCAAACAATTAATCAAAACAAAACTTCATTTTAAACGTCATACAACTACGTTTTACGCGCACCTTCGTAAACGTCGGTGTCATTCTTTTCTGAAACAGTAGTCCTTAGACCTTACAGTATATACATACTGCTATTAGCCCTACGTTTTCAATACAAAATGAGCGGTTACGGCTAGGGGGCGCTGTAGTCGTGGGTATGTTAAAGTCACTAGATATAGAAAGTACCGCAATCATCCGCCATTTTTGGGCAAATTTGCTGCCAACTTAAAAAATTGACAAATAAAATCTGAATAGCTGTCATTTTTTATAACCTAACTTCATAGTACTGTCATGTTTTATAAAAATATATACAGATATCTCCAAACAGATGGAACAATCCCTAACATTAAAGTTACTAGAATCTGGTAACTTCCGCCATTTTTGGGCAAAAATCATGCGTTCTCTCTCTAACACACGAGCCCAATGGATTGCGGTACTTTCTATATTTAGTGACTTTAGGGTATGTGAATCTCAGGGTAAACTAAAGTCGTGTGAACACCACCATGATCGCGTAAAAAGCAGCTTCTATAGCAACCATGTAATATGGGAAGCTTTAAATTTTCTTAATTATCTTATGTACGTCTACAAATAAGAATAGGTTTGCTTTTTTGGCACATCTAAGCGATTCATTATTTGACGTTTGTTAATTTAAATGTTGACGGTCTCAAATCGTATCTCATCACACAACTTCGGACACAGTCGTTTACCCTGAAACTCACTTACTCAGGCGATGTCCTTAACCATATTATATTTGCAATTAGCAGTCCGTGTAATATATGGGCCAAGCAGTGATGTCACTGTTACATTATTTAACAAGTGCCAACATGTAGGGTGAGCTAAACGAAAAAAGAATGTCAAATAAGCTCCCGTTTCTGCGCAAGCGCATTTCCAAAATGTTATTCATTATACCTGAGCGAAATTTTAACTACCTACTTACAGATACTTTTCATAAAAGTGAATACATAATTTGCAATGGACTGGCGCGTGTGCATTACTTTTTATTTATGGAGTGATTTTTATGAAATTTTGATATTATGTCGTTCCGATTTTAAATTGAGCGCTATTATAATTTTTTTTCACTACTAGCGTCTGATGACATGATTATTAACCTTTTTTTCACTTGTAAAGTAGGCTTTCTCGGCATTTGTTCAAAGTGGTTAATAATTTTTTATTATTAACTAGTAGTCAATAATGAGAACTGTCACGCTGTCACTTTTAGAAAACACAACCCGAAATTTCGCTCCATGAACGTTTAGACAAGTTCTTTAAAACGAATAATTGCCACCATTCGCAATTTCCAGAGAAATTACATACCTAAAATTATCACATTTTGAAAAAATTCGAACGAAATTACTCTTTGAAAAATCTCAATGACAGAACAAAATACGGCCTGTTTGACTTATACTTCCACGTACTTGATTGACATGTTAAATTAAGAAACAAACAATTCTGTCCAACCGTTAACTCTCTTATCAATATAATATGTTAATTTAGAGGATTTCAAGTGCTAGTAGTGAAAAAAATAGTATATATACCACGGTAGAGAAGTCTCTTATTGCCTTCGCACCTTACACCCCTCGGCGCAAGCGCCTCGAGATGTAATCTTGGTGCTCAGGCAATAATAGTGGACTTCTCTACCTTGATATATAATGTACTATTACAATGTTAATCAAGCCATACGTTTTTTTGTGACAACGTCAAGTACAGTGGATCTGCCAAGAACCAGTATTTACATCAATTTGAGCGAAAACGGCGCTGCCTAGATTGACGATGTCAAATTTGCGTATGACTTGCGAGAACGTGGCAGCAGCGCAAAAATTTGTCATTCTCAATCAAGTAATAGTGTGTTATTCGAATCCATTCTGCAACCTGGATAGGATTTCATGTCAGATTTTTCTTTTTGTATTCAAGAATTAGGTATGTCAGGTGTTAATGAAAATGTGTGCAGTTAATTCTTTGCTTTTTTTCGGTAGTTGATCGAGCCTACTGTACTGTACTGTACTATTGGAGTATTGGACAAATTTTCAGCATGCCTCTAATGCCTACACAAAAATATCTATCAGCTTACAGATCATTGGATTTGACCCACATTCAATAGGAGTGTTACATGCGGTATATAAGACAACTGTGCAAAGTTTGAACCAAATCAGCCCCAAGTGTTTGTCAGTTATCGTGTTTACAGACAGACGGACACCGTGATTTCCCTCTAAAACCTCCATCATTTTGCTCTGCCGCTTAATAAGTGATGTAATACACAATATCAATTCTAAAATATAATAAATAAATACCTACTCAATAAGATCTCTTTTAAACTATGCACTTATATAACAATATTATGCTATTTATTATGGAGACCGAAAAAAATTAAATCTGTTACTATTCACTTCACTAGAAGTGGCAGAAAATTACCTAGAGATGCTGAAGGTGGTATTCACTAAATTAGAGTAATTGTTTCCCATTTATAAATGCTATTATTGCTGAAAAATTGCTCAAAAATCTCCACAATTCCAGATTCCAACAATATGTGTAAAAATGTCCATTAAAATGTCAATAAAATGTGAAATAGCTTAGCTGATAATTATATACTATGTCAATTTCTGTTCTACACAAATCGGCATATCAAAAACAAACCTGCCATGCCCTTTATTGTGGGGGTGCGTAAGTCCTGATCTGATAATTTGCACATATACCTAAGTACACAAGACCGCAGAGGAACCAATAAAGAAACTGTGCTTTTAAAATTCATCCACAACTTCAAATTGCACACTAAAAAAAATGCTTGTATGATCATTAAAGTCGTCAGTCTCGCTCACCTATTGAAATCATCGCATGAGCGGTTGACACAGGTAGTTCACTGGGCGACAAGAAAGTAAAACAGGCAGTCATCACGTGTAAACCGCCCAATTTGCAAAATAATGTGACATTCCTTAACAAATACAACGGTATTTCGGAATCGTGAAGATCACAAAACGAATTTAAACTTTGAATCTCGTGCTGAGTTAAATCATCAATTTTGTTTGTCGCCGTATGCTTGAAAGCGACATAAAGCGGGAAATTCAGTAGAAATATTTTCGATGCCAAAATAAATAATTTATCTCTTTCCTGGACGTCGGCTGAATTCTCCTCTGCCTTAACTCTATCTTCGGGATCATTGTCTTTCTTATCCGAGTCTGTACTAGAATCACCTAGCTCCTTTAGATGTAATATTGTAAGATATAAAATTCCTTGCGTGATACAACTGAAACGTTCTAAATTTTTTTGGTCCCGATAACAACACATGCATTGCCTGAAATGAAACATCAATAGTACCATAACAAAAAGCTTCCTCTCACCTGGAGACCCATGCCTGCACATAAACCAGTATTGTATTAATATCTTGCCGTGTTAATGTGGGCTGTTCGTTGATTTCTTTACACAAATTTGCTTCATCTACAACGTAAACACAATAGATTAGGAGGTTTCTAACTTGTACTGATGTAATTTGGCATTTGCACAAAGTGTGCAACCAACAACCATTTAAAATTTAAAAGTCTTTGATGGATTTTGGTGGCAAGTGAATGTGAACTTACAAGAAATAAGCAACTGAAGAAAATCGGAACATGCATCACACATGTTTACAGTAAATTTGCGAAGAATTTATTTCACTACCATTTCACATAATCTTAGGTTAACCTATTATTATTTATGGTAATCACTAATCAGAATCAGATTCTGTTTAATGATTTTAATGACAAACGGCTACCATATTTAATTAATTTAGAAAGTACATAAACGGAAAAATTTTATTCTCATACATGTCATTTATCATACAAATGCTTTTTTTTCATAACATCATACAAATAAGCAGAGACTTGTTATAACTAGACCGCGCGTAACGTAGATTTTACTATAAACGCCTGTTGTCAAGATAGGATAGGCAACCAACTGTTCATCGCGGGGCAGACGTACGTTCTGCAGCTTGCTTTAGCCATGTTTATTCTAAATTTTAGTAGCAAAAAAAGATAACATATAGCTGTTAACTGTTTTAATCGAATTTATTGGTATTTTATTTGAACTAAATTGGTATATAACTGCCTTACTCTAGTCCTAATTTGATTTATATGTGTATTTTGGTGGTGAACACGTATGGGAAAATATACTCTTAAAACTAAAGATGTAAGTAGTAAGATATGATTATGTAGCGGATTTTGCTTCAATATATGCCTATCCAAAAACCCAAATGGGCTGTAAGTGTTATTTATTTTTCTTAGACTGCTGATAACCATTTTGTTTACAACGCGCTGTGGTGTGGATTGAATGAAAAACCTGAACACATTTTCATCAATTTGGCAAATTTTTAATGCATCGCTTGATACGTGCAACAATCCTCCACGATTTTTTCTAGTTAAAAGCCTTGAATGACTCTCTGATGCGAATATCGCATCTGCACATATGGAACATTTAACAGACTTAGCTATTTTTCTTGTAACAAAACCTCAAATATACTTAGTACCAGTAAGTACTTACTTAGTTACGTCTATACCTAATAGGCAAATAGGTATTGCCGTTGTCTTGCTGGTAAAGGATGTCGAATAATAGTTCTACGTTATTTTAAGTGTATAGGAAAGTCGAAAACGCTCGGTATTGCATTATTGTTTAACACCTTCGTAGGTATCTTTCTAAAAGCGGCTTCTTCCCCGCAAATGCACTATGGTGGGAGTAAATTTTTCTCTTCGAATGGCTCTGATCCATTGGCCCTTTAAACTTTTATCCGTTGAACACCAGCATATTATTTAAAAATTTATCGACAGAGTACATGTTGATAGGCACAAGTTAACCTAAGTTTATTGGTTTATTCTCAACAGAAATTTACTAATTCGAGCTAATCACGAGAATGATTAATAAACGGAACATCTAAAATAACAGCTTATTTCATTATATTGCATATCATCTCAGCGATTTTTGCCCCGCGGTGCATTGTGTGTTGCATACTGTGTCGACAACACCTTAGATACGTTAAGCGCAGTCTAGTTATAGCAAGTCTCTGCAAATAAGCAATACAAACTGAATACAAATAAACAGTACTGTTTTCAAAACAGTTACCAAATCTATCTGAAAAATTTACAGATGGAAATGGGAATTTAGTGATCTATCAAGGAATATTCATTATTCAGATCTATATGGCAGTTACTGTTATTGCCCATTGTATTGTCATTGAATTTATAACTATCAAATTCAATGGTATTGTTTTCGTTAAATATTATTGCCTACATAGGTACTTACATTAATTTTATAATTGCAATTCTGTAATATATACTTGTTATCCATCATCATTCTTCTTTAACAAAATCTCAAACAAAAACTCTTATGAATATCCAATTCCAATTGCATATAATTGATGAACATGGCGGAATCATATCTAAATCGTTTCAGTTACCATGTCTCAAATAAGTTCTATTTTTGTTTGAAACTATAGATTTTATACGAAAATATTAAAAAAGCGCAGAAAAAAGTACCCAGGTCCAATTCCTTAGGTAGTTTCTAGGGCTTTCAGGTATTCCCAACACGGGAAAATGGCAAATAAAGGGCTATCAGGCGTGGTGATCTTACAATAATATGAAAACTTGCAAAAACTGCAAAGTTTCTCGTAACACAATTTCTCGGGAAAACACTTTATCGTACTAATTTTGGTGCGTAGAATCCAAAACGATTCATGCTTTTTCGATTAGACGTCTCAATCAAAAGTTATAGACTAGAAACCAATTTCGTAAGAAATTTCAAAGGGCTGTAACTTTTGGTCTAGTAGACCAATCTTGGAACTGTTTGAAATTATGGATTCTACAGGCCACATTCTATAAGGAAATTTTTTTTCCGGCCAATCTGAGACAATTTTTTTTTCCGGCCAAAAAAAAGGCAGTGTACCTACAACCTTCGTTTTTTACTAAAAATCGACTACACCAAAATTTCTCGGGAAAACACTTTTTCGTATTAATTTTGGTGCGTAGAATCCAAAACGATTCGTACTTTTTCGATTAGACGTCTCAATCAAAAGTTATAGACTAGAAACCAATTTCGTACGAAATTTCAAAGGGCTGTAACTTTTGGTCTAGTAGCCCAATCTTGGAACTGCTTGAAATTATGGATTCTACAGGCCACATTCTATAAGGAAATTTTTTTTCCGGCCGATCTGAGACAATTTTTTTTCCGGCCAAAAAAAAGGCAGGTACAACCTTCCTTTTTTACCAAAAATCGACTACACCAAAATTTCTCGGAAAAACACTTTTTCGTAATAATTTTGGTGCGTAGAATCCAAAACGATTCATACTTTTTCGATTAGACGTCTCAATCAAAAGTTATAGACTAGAAAAAAATTTCGTACGAAATTTCAAAGGGCTGTAACTTTTGGTCTAGTAACCCAATCTTGGAACTGTCTTCTCGGGCCATTCCTAGAACCAAACCCACAACTTACTAGGCACTTCTGTATAAGCTGTTTCACGGATTTCTAGGTTCCATCGAATTATACCTAGATATTGCTAAAGAAAATACTAAAGGTATCCCTGAAATGCGCGTTAGAGTTTCGGGAATACACTAAAAAATTATGGATAACATTCTAAACGCTTTGTCAAACGAAGGAATTTATCGTATTTTTATAACTTTTTTAAAGTGCAATGCAAGGTGCAATCCTATGACTGTTTATGCGCTTTCCCGAACTGGGTTGGAACCTACCAACGTAAATGAAATTCTCCTATTTTATCAGACTTTTGAGCATGATTCAAATTTTGAGCATGGTTCAAAGTGCATTTGAGCGCAACCGAAATCTTGTAAGAGATTTGTGAAAAATCAATTCAAGAGAGATTCTGCGCAAATGCCGAAAAACAGGAATTTTTCGCGACGAACGTTAGGAAAAAGTTACCGTCCATCGTCGCCAGGTTTTCTTTTGTCCAATATGAAGGTTCGAAGGTGGTGCGAAACGTATGTCATTTCGACATGAAAGTGAGATGGCTCTACTGGGAATTCCACCAATGTAAATCGTAAATTGCCTGGGGATGAGGTTTAAAAAATGTGATAAAGCCGCCCGAAAGAGTGCAAAAACATAGCATCAGCATTATTTATAAAAAAGCTGCCACGCTCAACTACCCACTATGCAGAAATTCAGAGAACCAAGACGTTAAACAAATTTATGACAAAATAGTGCTTGAAAATCACCTGGTAAGAGACAAATAAGGAGCTTGGAGGATCATTCGTTTCTACGAACAAGTGCGCCTCAAAGCCGTGATACAAAAATTTGGTAATTCCGTTTTATAACAAAATACCCTTGCATTTAAGGTCAAGCACGTGAGTTGGAAATTACAAGAAAAGTTTAAAGGAGCGGCTGCTATCGTAATCCCAGGCCAGCAATACATCAACTGTTGCTTAAAAAAAATGGAAATGGTATATTCATGCCCCCGGCCCCTTCGCGAATATATGTATTTTTTTGTTTATACACATTTCACATTTTTTTCGTTTTTATTGAAGGTATAATAAAATGTATTCATAATTTTGCAATAAAAATTTCGAAGTCCCCGAACTATAATTAACAAATACACACACCATAAAAGAAACAAATCGTAAATTTCGGCCGGCATTGCCAAACATAAACGAAAGGAGGGAGAGGACAATAAGAATTTTAAAAGAAAATTGGATCGCAAATCAAAAAAAAGGTTTAAAAACGCCGACTAGATTAAAATAATTATAATATAATCTTTATACACACTTGAGAAACTTGAATGTGCTTATGAACAGTAACAATAAGTGTTTAAATACATAAAACAACCAGGATTTCAAACTTAACAGAAAAATGGAATAAATTTGATAATACATAAGATTTGGAGTACATTGATATTTTCCGTTATGCATTTTTTTTTCAAAAATAGTTATTTGTTAGGTATATAAGACGATAGGTACTTCATTTTATAGCAGAAACCATAAATCCAAGCATAAATCTAAATAAAGATGCAAATTCTTGAGGATTTTAATTATAGGTGTAAAAAAGTAGCAAGCTTAATATCGCCTATCTTTGCCATGAATATCACTAGGTATAAATAATTATTTTTTGTTTCGGCTTCTATTTTACTATATTCTAAAAGTGGTAGTGTTTTAGGTGGATTTCTATCTACCTATGGTAATGGTACCAGTATAAAGGTTTATATATATCACTATTCCAAAAAACACTCTAACTTTCATAATTATGAACCGATTTCGACCAAATTTTAAGGGTTGGTGAAACTCATAAATATCTCGGTAAAGTTCGTGTATCAGTCAATTGAAATAAAATGACGGACACTTATATGTTAATGCGTTTAAAGAAATCTACCTACACCTGATCGGCCGAGCCGAAAGGGATTTTTAAACTGAAATGGATTATGAACATGAGATAAACGGCGCAAATTGAAGAGGCGAGCGAAATTACCGCCGAGTAGGTAAATCTCGCCATCCTTGGCCATAGTTATCCGGAATCGGGCAGGGTAAAATCGTTGCGAAAGAAAGAGCGTAAGATGGCCCTTTGGAGTGCCTAAGTGAGTAAGTGTTTCTCTAGTTGGGCTCTCCTTGTGAATAGAATAATTAAATTTTAGCAATGAAGAACTAGAACTAGGCAATGGTTTTATGAAAACAACTTACATATATAAACAAATAAATCTTAGTCAACTGGACTAGCAATTTTTAGAGGAACATAGAAAAACTAACGTTACTTTTCCAAAACTAACGGCTTCAATGTAGATT